CTGTGGTTAGATGGAAACACATGATTGCACAATTCAAATTAGTAGCTGTTTTACAACATTCCGATTTTTTTAGGATATCATGTTATAACAGCATTAGTGCAAGTATTTTCATTCAGATTTTTGTTATATAATTTCAAACTCTTGAATCCTAATCATTTACAGAAACACTATTTCCGTTGAAAATTTTTTGCTTATCCTATCGAATTTCAGACATGGAGATTTTTTTTGCGCATCTCTTCCTAGGCATTTAACAATAAGCTTACAGCATTTGAGTGAGATTAGCGAAGTTTTGAAAATGGACAAATTGTTACCATATGAAGTGAACGTCAGGCAAAAAATAGCCGATATAAGTTCTGCTCTGCCACTTCTGTGCAGGAACGCTTCATTTGAGAAAAATGTGACCTCTGACAAAGATGGGTTGTATATAACACGAGAAGATGTGCACAGCAGTTAAAGATGAGCAGCTTAGAGCATCTCTCAAGCCCAGTGTGCCTCCGAAGAAAGTAGTGTTCTTCTTGCGGGGATCTGCTGTCGTCATAATCCACTATGTTCTTGACATCTGCTGGTATTACATTTGGTGTAAAAGCATCACTACTATCACTACCGCAGGCAACTGTAGGGAACTCAACGGGTTGCAAGAGAAATTCAGAAAAATTCATCATCCATCCGGCTCTGATGAATAGAAAAGGATCGATTCTTGCATGATAACGCTAGACCACATGTTGAGAATATGACTCTGCAGAAACTGAGTCGGTCAAGATATGAAACCCTGCCTCATCCTTCTTGCTCGCCGGGCCTATCCCAACCCAGGCTACCATTTCTTCAACATCCTGACCACTTCTTACAGCAAGAAATATTTAGGAACTGGAGGATGCTAAACACGTCTTTCGAAATTTCATATGCTCTAAATCTCCAGGTACTGGCCTGATTAGATTAATATCTCTTTGGCAGAGATATGTATTTTGGTGTATCTTTATTCAAGATTTTAAGCAAATTATGAAACCCCGAAATCAAATTAAAATTTGCATTACTGCTAAAATTTTTGCTTATGTTTTGTCATCTGTTTACGGCATTTCCCTTCGAATATTTGATATTTTCGAGGTATTTTGCATAAGCCATAAGTGTACGTCCACAGGTTGCGAGAATTTTCTTCTCGTTTCCCAAATTATTGTAATGCTACTATCCTACATGCCTTGTGCCTTTTGTTAATGTCTCTCTTAACTTAGTGTGCAAACGGTCGGCTTACTCCTCTAAACCATGGAGAACGTCACGAAGAATGCGCTGACAACGAAAAGAGTGACTTGTGGATGGATGACTTTATGAACGATAGCATGTGCTAGCCTCCAGCTGGGTACCGTACGCGGTGCGCTGATCGCTCCGCCTCCTTGTTAAATCTAGGATGCGTTGCAGCTACTGGAAAACTTAATCTCTAATATTTCGTTCGTTTCTTCAGTTGGTTGCAATTTGGATCCACAGTAAATTTCAAAATTTCATTAAATTCAAAATCAGCTTTCAGAATCATTTTTCATTATAAATTAGTTCGCAAGCTCTTTTTTAATCTATTTCAGTTTTTTGTTCCTAATGGGCTTGAATCCATTTTCCATTGCAAGTATAAGGGATTTGTTTCGAAAATGCTTGGAAAAGTGTTCTAATTCTATTTATTTACTTTTGTTACTATACTAAATACTTTGTTGCGCACTCTCAAGTTTAGTTTTAAAAAAAGTCGGTTTATCGAAGCATTTATTGTTATTGCTCAAATGACCAACATAATTATCTCTTTTATCGGAAAAGTAAGATTTAAACCCTAATCATAGCTATAAGCAGATTTCACTATAGTGAGAATTCAAAATTTTTTATTTTATAAATTAATTTTTATAATATTTTTCGAATTTTTCAGTAATATAATTTTTCGAAAGTACTTTAAATTGATAAAAAATTTTGATTGCTTCCAAAATCCGCTATCCTAATACAAATTGATCTGTAACTCGATCAAAATTGCTTTTGAACTTGTCGCTAGATGTGAGGTCACTCAGACAATTATGCCTAAAGTATTCTAGATTGATCTCACCCTCCAGAGTTGGATATCCAGGAGACACCCGGCAATTCATAATCGAATCAGCAAATCTCTTGGATTTCACGATCAACACATCATTAGCTCATTGATTCGACGAATAAAGGAAAAGGTTTTGTTGATAGTCAAGCTTCTCCCTAGCTTAACAACAATTTTTTACCTTTTTCTCAGGATCTGCTTTTGGTAAACTAAAGAACATGGTCGTAAACAGTGCTAAGCTGTAGTGCAGAGAACTCGTCCATCAGGCGGGGCTAACGGTATGCGCCCTATTGACACATGCCTGCCTAAGCCCGCACCATCGTTCATGAAGTCCGTTCTTTGTCAATGAAGACGGTTTATTGTCCAATCGAAGTCGTAAATGAAATCACCGCAATGTGTACGTATTTAACTGCTGAAGAAAGATAAATATGCAAATGTCTAAAAACATCTTTCCTTACTTGCTTTTAGCACTGTGCTTATGCGCGCTATTCGATGTCAACATTGATTCGGTGATGCGCGCGCATGTTTTGCGGAGAGTAAGGTGTTTTTGAGGCAACAATTACTTTGTTTGGACATGCCATTACCGTGTTTTCCTTGATTTTGCGGCGAACTGGAGGATTACTACGAGCTAACGAGACCATATGTATTAGGGTGTCCCATGATTTTTTGCCGTTCTTACCCTGATCACCAGCATTTCTCGACTGGGGCACTTTCAAAGTTTACAAATACATTGTCATACTTCTGTATGTATGAGCTATATGATCACATGCGTGGGAGAAGCTTAGTATGTCTAAGAGCAGAGTTTGCCATTTCACCCAATTCATTTTTATTTTCATTTTTAGCCATAGAAAAAGGGAAATAGTACAATTAAATGTGTGATGTGTCAGGCATACGCTAGGATAGAGAATTTTCAAAATATTTTGGGACGGAGATAAGATTTATGAAAGGAAATTCGTTTTGACACTGCTATCAGATTTCAGCTCAAAACTTCCGGTGAAATACGGTTTGAGCAGATACTTCGTAGCCATCTCGTAGAGCTTGCTTTGCGCTGTCGAATGACTATTCAAGCCACATCAATTGAGAGAAAAGTGCAAAGAGACGACGGCTACAGTAAAAACGGTAAAAAATTATGGGACACCCTAATATGTGCCGTAAGGGAGCTTCCAGACCGCGCCGGTCGCCGCTTTTGCAGCCGTTAGCCGCTTTCGCGCCGATTGCCGCTATTGCAGCCGAAGAGCATTGGGTCATGCCATTGTCTCTGTGGCACGCATTTGGGACGAAAACTCATCGGTCAGTCTAATTTCTGTGTGTTTTATGTCTTTTCCCTGGTTTTTCTGTTATAGGCTAATTTTGAGGTATAAATCTTTCGATAATGGTTGCTCAAAGATTTGAAACGTGCCGCTGAGAACAGATTCGCTAAGTATCGCCTGCGATTAGCTGAAGTTTACAGAGTGTACTATTCTTTCTTTTTTCTCAGTTTTGTTACGCTCAAGTTTGACGCTTTCTGTGAATGACGGTCTGAAAGCTGGTCGGGATGTTAAAGAGCATTCGTGCAAGTTTATGATAATCCATGGACGTAAGCATAGAGAAACTGCATCACCCACAGCAAATATGAAACTTGAGCGTGAACACATTACCTATTTTGATGTTCCTTGCTACTTCCTTCTTCATTTTCGTGTTCAGCTCAACTTTCATATTTGTTGTGGGTAATGCGGATGGATTTGCACAAATGCTCTTTGAAATCAGGTTTCAAATCGCATCACCCACAAAAGTATAAAACTTGAGCATAACAAAAACTGAAGAAAGACGCAATAAAAAATTATTTTGTAAACTTCAGCTGATCGTAGGCGATACTTAGCACATCTGCCCTCAACGGCGATGTTTCAAGTCTCAAGCAATCGTTGTCGGAAGACTTGCACCTCAAAACCAGCCTATAACAGAAAAATTAAGAAAACGATAATAAAGCACAAAGAATTGATTGACGACTGAGTTTTGCGCCCCATGCGCGCCAGGAAGACAATGGCATGGCCCACTGCGCTTCGGCAGCAAAAGCGGCGACCGGCGCGGTCTGGAAGCCCCCTAAGAGTTAGAATATTGAGAAGAAACTTCGCAAATCAAGGAAGCCTGTAAATAAACGTGTGAAAGCCCAGAACTGTATTCGTTTTTTGACACTGTAGTGCCATCTTATCTAAGCGTTGAAGTCACTTACAATACATCGAAGTTCAAAATATTGACTGCATATTCCAAGCTTCACACAACGTTTTTTTCATAGAAAAGGCTACCGTAAGCACAGTAAAGCGGCTCTTTTAGCACTTGCAGTCTGAAACTTTTCCTTCTATCACATGCTGATCAATTGTATTCTCTGAGAAAGCAATTTTTGGCGAAGTTTATGAACGCGTTCCGCACATAATATATAGGAAGGATAAATACAACCCACCAGAATGAGTTTTCGTAAGATGGCTTGCTAATACATAAGAGGGAAACTAAAAATTAAAAGATGAGCGCTTAACGTAAAGTTAAAATGTCTTTTGCTGAATGAGAGAACGGCAAGAAGATTGTGACATGATGATACCATAGACTAGTACAAGCAAATATTATAATCAATAGTGTATCGGTGTTTGTCTTTGACATACAATCGTTGGCCAACGCTTTCAATATATGAGTGAGGATATTTGGTATGAATACTTTTGTACAACAGACTCATTTCTTTACAAGGAACTGCCGCGGTTAACTGGAAGAACATCTTAGAGATTGTGGAGAAAGAAGCTCTCATCAGTCTAGCAACTTCATATAATTGTCCGGCCTTTTATATATTGGATTTCATTTATCTTTAGTCGCTACAAAATATTCAGGATGAAGCCCAAACATTTTTGAGCGCAACTTTTTATGTTGCTCAAGCGACTGACATGGCCAACTTTGCGATTCTACATTGCAAGACTTTGCACTTAACGTGCACAATTTTATTCGACCACCTCGAAAAAAAAATGGTACAGCAATTGTCCCAACATCATTTTTCATGCAACTTTCTAAGGTAATCTAAACATTTCACGTCTATCCCGTGATGGCGACAGATAGTAATGGCATGCTTTGTTTTGATTCCCAGGAAAATCGATAGGTAAAGATAGTGCTTTGAAAGGATGGAAGACAGCTTTTTGGGATAGTAGGCTTTAGCTCTAAAAATTCAGGGAGAGATAGCATGTTTCGTAAGATTTCCGTATACGTTTGCGCAAAACATGATATGTCCCTCAATTTTGTCACATCCTGAGATGAAAGTGTAAATCACGTTGTTTGTAGTATAGTTAACTGCGAGGAGACGTTTTCATGCATGGACTTCACCCCCATCATGAGGAGCGTTGAAGTAAAACATCAAAGCCGGAATTATACGAAACAGAAAAATAATGCCCATTGGAAAGAGGAAGAATACAAATACAAACAATGCAAGCCATAGTTTGTATCTTCTTGGTGGATCATCTACTTGTGTTCCAACCGTGACCTTGGGAGACATAAACGGTGGTGCTGACGTTGTTGAAACTGAAATTGACGCTTATAAAACATATACTCATTTTCCGACTTTTAATCAAACTGATTATGTTACAACAAAGCATTGCTATCGAATAACTCAACAAATCTCGATAGCCAAGCATTGCAATTACATTTTGGACACGGCATATATCTATATGACCGTAACTGACGAAATTTTATCGTCTGCATGCACTACTGCTTTGAAAGATTTGGAACCCAATGCCATTATGTGCAGCAGTTGTTCTCGTTAGAGAATCACTTTAGCTTTATGCGATACAAGGCGGTTTTTAGCCTAATGGAAAGAGATAGACTGCATTAGCACTGGTATGGTGCCACTTGGAACTAGTGTAATATAGTGTGCACCAATTATTATATTGATAGGACAAGGCTTATAATCAGGAAGGCTCTTTCCAAACTGCTCTACCTTTGCTATGCCGCTTGTCTTTCATCGGATTTAACCAGTAGCCGGACAGTGGAAGCTAAAAGGGAAGTCATCTAAAACAAGTGGCGGAAGAGAACATATGAATGTCTTACTGCAGCGAGGTATTTTGAAACGTCGTAACCGGAGTGAAGTCTGCCAACACCGTGGCGTGAGAATTTCCTTTGTTTGCGCGGTGGCGGATGGAGAAAGTCGTTGTCGTTGTAAGGATAATAGCTCCCACCGAAAGCATCGATTGATGGGTTGCTAGTGGAATGGGGATAATAATGCTGACTCAGCACATTGACTGGGCGAATGCCAGTTAGGCCTGAGAGTTTAGTCAGTGAGTATCAGATGTGTGTTAAGAATTTAGATCAACTAAACCAATAACATTGGTTTCAATCTCGTATACAACTTGTTTTCTTTCGATCTGTGAAAGCACTTTAAACAGACACAAAAAGTGTTGAGTGTTGAGAGAGCTGAGCGCTATGAGCTCGTCACAGCATAAGCACAAGTAAAGTTACAAAATTTCAAATGCATCTCCTAAATTGTGTTGCTTGATTGTTATGCGTTGCTCTCACTAATGTATTACCAATCATCAAGCTCCTAATTTATTCCCTCACAGCATTTACCAGTAGTTTGATGTTAAATGTAGTCCCTTATAAAGGTGGACATTGTCGCAAACAGAATGCGAACATTGCGGTCAGGCTTCTAGATTGCTAAAGGGTGAGAAATGCAAATGCTCGTGACATTCTTCCTTGCGATGCGCCAGCATGTTTACAAGAAGGAATACGCTTTCGTCTGCAGCTAGGCTTCAATGCTGTATTCATACTAAACGTCTAAAACTTGTTCGCTCTGTCTGTAATATTATTCACAACTTTTGCTTTGAAAAGCTTGACTTCCTATAAACTTGTTTTTGACCGTGCCTGTACAGTCGGAGGTAATCTAACGAACTTTGTCGGAATCTTAATGTTTTCGATGTTCTCAGGCGACGTCGATGCCGAAACTACACAAAACACCTTATAGAGCTATGACACACGAAAGGAGAACAAGTTGCAATACGAGATTGATAGCTTTCGACATGGAAAAAGGGCTTACGTTGATTCCCCCGATCATTATAGAATGATCCTCTTCTTTGATGTTCAAGATTCTTAGTGAAGTTTGTTTTTTTCCGTAAGCAGCGCTTGACTAAACCTGAAGCTATCGACCTTTCCAAAAAGGCAGCTGTACACACTAACTCGGTGTTCATTATCGTGCGACTTCGAAGTTGCGAAGCATTTAGAGTAAATGCGACAGAAAGGTGAAAAAAACATGAAATTCTTGCCCATTCTACAATTAGCGTTTTCAAGACAATTCAGTCATCAAATTCTTGTATTCGTGTTATAGTTTGAGCGCGAACAAAACTTGGATGTAGAACCGTATAGTATAGTAAACAAAATGCAGCCTGCTTCGTTCCTGTAATTTTACTACATAAACAAGAAGAATGCTGATGTGTTTTGTTTGTCTAGCACACTTGCATATCATGTGAAAGGTTGATTGTCTAACACGCATAAGTTTTGTTTGAGTTTGAGTCATTTCTCTTCGAAATAATCAAAGCCAGCCACTGCGATGATAATTACACGATTTGACCAATCATTAAAAGGGTGGTGCTGACTGTTACGCTCATGCGGCACACATAAATACGTACAAGCTCGGAGCAAGTGGTAAAGCTTGCTGTCTATCGAAGAAAGTGTAGAACATAATTGTTGCAAGAGGCCTATCTCTTACTGGCAACCAAATACACAATGGTTCGCACCAAACCATATATACTGGTGCGTAAGAGGTGCGTCTCCCACTAAAGTCTACCGCCTCATCGTGGCGTGGGATGGATGTGGTCGTCGAAGTGCAAAGCACAACTGTGTGTATGTACTTTTTCTCGGCTCGGGACACTCTGGTAGAGTGTCCCGAGCCGAGAAAAAGTTCGCCATTCATTTCGGCCGAATGCCCAGCTAAGAGCGGACTGGGCCCTAATCGCTATGCGGTCTCCGCTCCACACTAGGGGTTAACGATCGCCCCGAGCAAATCAAGAGTAGGCTTAGTAAGTCTGCTTTTGTAGGAGACAATTCTTATCAATTTTTCAGCTAGAAGAAGAGAAGGAAACCCTGAACAGCGATTCCGCCTACGGCGCCGGGTGGTAGCAAGAACGATGTCAGGGTCCTCGAAGCCCTTTTTAGATCGAACAAAAACGACACGTCTACCCAAACGACACGCCATGGAGAGCCTCATGCTCTGTACCTACAACGCCAGTACAGTCTCCACAAACGCCGATTTCCACACTCTTCTCGACGCTGCAGAGCATATCAAGTACCACGTCATTGCTGTGCAGAAAACGAAGTCCAGGAAGAGACCTAAGACAGATGAGTGATGAGACCCTCATCATTCGTCGTGAGAAGGTTGGATCACGAGATGTTGGAAGCGTTGACTTTGTCGTCCACCCACCTACCGTCCATCTCGTCGATACGCATGAGATTCTATCACCCCAATTAGCCATCGTACGATTACGAACTCCAGTCAGACCATCAGCATCATCAACTGCTACTCGCCAACATCAGCAGCTGATGATTAAGAACTAGATGCTTTCTACGAAGACGTGGAGAAGGTCGCCCGCAGCGGAAAGTCCTATAAGTTTATTGTGAGAGACTTCAATGCGAAAATCAGAAAGAAATCAGAAAAGGTATACAGGATGGGAAGTTTGGATATGGTCTCCGAAACGAAAACGGCGTCTCGTTGGGCTACTCCGCCGACTTTTCTTTTACGAGAACTCCATCTTCATGCAGAAAGAACACCGCAGGTGGACGTAGGAATCGCCCAATGAAACGCTCGTGGTAGAGATCGACCACATTCTCACCAACAAAAGATGGAGCTTGCTCGATGTCTCAGTAGTGCCATCCTTCTGCAGTGGTTCCGATCACCTACTTCTTCGAGAGAAGATACGACTTAGTCGAAAGCTGGAAATGAAGGTCTGCCATAGTTTCGCAAGAAGGAAGGGTCTTTTATGACGGTAACAGGCTGGAAGAGCTCATTTCAAGTTGTGACAGGCCCTTCCAGGAGGACCCAACGTACGACTACGATTGGCTCCTAAAAGGATTGCGAGCCTACGGAGAGTACGTTCCGTGACTTCTGAGAAGAACTTGGGACGCGTTTCGAAGACTACCAAGGAGTTACTCAGAGGAAGAATATCCCTGAGGCAAGATCCGAATGCATCACGAGCGACTAATAGCCAGCACCAGTGCAGAACAGCTTTGCAAGGATCTGAGAAAGTAGAGGCAAGCCAAGATACTGAAAGTATAAATCTTAAAAAGTGCCGAAGGGACCTCTGTAACCGCTGGCCGCACTATCTAACGAAGACGGAACCGCGACTTCTTCCCGACATAAGATGGAATCTATCGCGAAGACTTTCCACACCGACCTCTTCCGCTCATCAACACCCGTGCCGACGCCCGTTGTTCCCACTGGTGAAGTACAACCACGGATTCTACCTGCTGAGCAAAGCGATTCACACCATGAAAACTAGACCGTCTTTCTGTTGAGCTTCTGTGAGCCAGAGGACACAGTCTATACGAGGTTCTCGTGTCGCATCTTCTGTCGTCTTACCTTCAAAAGGAGATTACTTCCGACCAGTGAAGAACGTAAGAACCGTCCTTCTTTCCAAGAAGGGTGAACGGGAGGATCTTCGGAATCACAGTCCAGCGTGCATGCTGAATGTGTTGTACAAGCTTTTCACTAAAATTATCCTCGCTCGCATATCTAGGACACTGGATGAAGCCCAGACCCAAAAACAAGCTGAATCTCGCAAGGAATTTAGCTGCATGGACCACATCCAGAAAATTCGAGCGTCAAGTACGTTTGCCGGGAGTACCGACTGCCTCTTGTCCTAACCTTCGTCGACTACGAGAAACCTTTTAAAGTGTCGAAATCAAAGAAACCAACGCCATCCTGTCTGCGCTAGTCGAAAGGAGTGGACCCAGCCTACGTGAGGACGTTAGCCGGCTGCTCAAAGACTGTACAACGACTACGCAGTTGGTTTCATCGTCCACTGACCATTCCAACTGGAGAGAGGGTGCCACAAGGCGACATAATCTCGCCGAAGTTGTTCAACGGCCTGGAGTCAGGCATAGAGTTGGTGGGAGCCTGTCCAACCTTCGCTTTGCGGACGACACTGTTCTCTTTTCGAGCAGTACTGAAGCGGAGATGATGCCGAAGAAACTAAACGAAGTAAGGAAGAAGATCGAATGGTGGATAAGTCGAAAGAAGACTCAGTTCAGTCACACTTTGTGAAGATGCGAAAATGGAACGGAGATGTATCCTTATTATGAAGACGTCTTTTTACGTGTGTCTCGGACGTTTGATGAACATGGAGAACGACTTGAGGGAGAATTAACAGGGGAAGAAAGGTAGCCTGGGCCACCTGCGGGCCTTTAAAGGAAGCCACCGACCAACTTACGGACCGGGAGCTTGTGCCCACCTGTTCAACTCAACGTCTCCCGGCGCAGTGTTACTAGTCATATCGAAAGCTTTACGGACCATTAACAAAACGCTTGAGCGTAGTCTTCTAAAGATGACCAGACACCAACAATAACTTATACTTGTACTGTAATTGTACAGTTGCGCATATGAGAAGGATGTCCCGTCTTCACAATCCAGCGGCGTTACGAAAGCGAAACATTGATGGGCTGGTCACATCATGGGAAGAACAGACGACCGATGGACACAAAGGTCTGAGTGGATTCCTTGTGAAGCCAAATGTCCCCGAGGAAAACCAACGAGATGAGCAGACGTGTCCGTGGAACGAATGAACCAGCTAGGAAATCAGCTAGATGCGATTCTTACACCTGGAACTCATGGACGCAGCCACTGACTACGACAAAGAAAATCTTGGATGTCGGAATCGAGGGACATGGATCACCAAAAGGTCCTGAGATGAGGCGCGCACGACGTGAAAAAGGCCATCTACCCTATGATTCGACTGGATTGGCGGCTGGAAGGAGGGGCTTCGTGACCTTATTGAGGCTAGGTAATAATCAGAGAGCACATTCGCGAAAGAGACGCAGACTGTGTCGCGTCGCGAGCGGTCACCTTCAGCGGAAAGTATCTAATTAAGTAAGTGAGAGGTGCGTAATTGTTACGGGGGGGATGCAGGAGTTCCTAACACCATAATTAGCGCCGGCGCACTCAAAAGGATTCTAGCACCTTAGTGTCTCAGAGGTCGTGCCCGGCTCATTGCTCCACCTCCAGTCGCCTTTATTGTAAAGTAAACAATGCAGTGACTACTTGTTGAAGGCACTAAAGAAAGAACGAAAGAATTGCTCTAGCGCGTGTAAGATAGGAAAATCATCAGCAATATAGACTTAATTACCAGTACTCGTCATTGATTGGTATTGTCTCAATCCAACAGCTCTTCATTCAAAAAGGTTTCAAGGAGTTTTCCATGAATGTCTTGCCTAAAACCTCTAAAAAACACAGAGGTCCTTTTAATTTTAGTACTCATGGAGAGTAAGATATAGCACTCTACATGAAGACTAAGAAAATCCAAATCATAAAGATTTTTTTTAGTTCAACGTTTGGTTTTTTGAGGGTTTTTTAAGTTTACGGTTTAGGGTCAAGGGACTTCGTTTTGAAAATTCCCTGCTGCCAGCTCGTGCCGAGCCCTGCTCTAGAGTAATATTGCAGCAGCTCATCTTTTTTTTCAAACGAACAACAAACGACCATAGGATAATTAAAGTGAAAAATTATCCCCATGAAAAATGATATTATTTTTCGAAATCATTAAAATCTGAAGTAAGTAACTAGCAATCGTCATTGAAGAAATCAGTCATGCGAGATTTTACCAGAAGAAATCTTCTCGCTTGGCATAAAAAAATCAAATGAGCTAATCTTCGCCCTGGTTACTGAAACAATTTGGCATTCGAAGGCATTCGACTTCCCAATGATTGTAGGTAGAGATTAGCAGAAATCCCTTCTTCATAAAGTCAAAATTTCGGTTTTCTTTAGTTCAATCTGCCTCGTTGCGCTTTCACTGTGCGGTGATGGACCTCAAGGTTTCCTCAGTGGTGTCAAGTACTCCTGCAAGGAAAGGCGTTGAGGCTTTGGGGATACTTGAGCGGTCGTTGTTGTTGCAGACATCGTGCCGAACTTTACTTTCGATAGATAGTCCTCTACCCCTGCTATCACTTGATTTGTTGATATTCGCTGTTAGTAAATTCAGTAAAAACGTGCCGGAGGGACAAAAGGGATATTACCTCATGTGAAATGCGCCATTGGCTGTCCTGCGCCTACTCTGTACCTGTACCTGTGCCGCTTCATAACACCGTGAAGGAAAAAGCCTAAGTCACAAAGACAATCTGAGAAACAAGTTTGTCAGTGTCGTTGTGAGCCTCCAAAGAGATAAGAGAACCAGAGCCCCTTGTGTGAATAAGATCGCACTTCTAATACAAACTTTCCCCACCTCCAATCTAAGTCTGCGCAGTTTCGGGCTGAAGAATGGTCTGAGTTTGCCACTGATCTATAATGCTTAGCTCAGCTCTGGCGTTGCAATAAAACCCTATAGCTTTCTGGATCGATGGATACCAAAGTAACCTAGGAGCATCAAAGCACTGATCCAGCAAGATGTGAACCCCAAAGGTTATTGTGAAGAGTGAAGTACGTTTGATAGGCTCTATATGGGGTATAAAACTATGGAGTGCTGCGTTTGCAACCCAATAAGCAGGGAATTCGACTTCTTTATCGTTCTAATGTTGAGTACTTCTTTCATGTTATTTCGAAAACTGAGCACGCCTTGTATCGCTGAGCACAGAGACAAATCAATAATTAGTGGATCAATCAATACGAGTAAAACAACAAACGCGATGTTATAATTTGCCTGAAGAGATAGAGGAAATAATTACGTTAACTCACACGCTCGGCCCACATAAACTGGTGGTGGGCTCTTGATTCTTGAGTAGAACGCGCTCATATCTGGATCTTGGATTGCAGGATTCAGAGACGTGCTGAAATTCAACTAAACTTGAGATATTTAACACATTGACGACCATGCAGGTTTTTAGTTGTCCGCCGTCTGGGACCAAAGCCTTTTACGGACCAGTTCACAATTCTCAAATATAATTAAGCATAATGCCATCTACAGTACACCTACAGTAGATCTGAAAGGCTGACCAAAAAATTAGAGATCATCCTTAGATTAAATGCAAAAACGAGCTCATGGAATGAGTTTACCCCAATGTTGTAGTTATTTTGACAAAGTTCAAACCTTGACACACATGGTGTGTCAAGCGGTCCCACGCGGCATTCATTGCTTGACACACCATGTGTGTCAAGCTGTCGTGAATGTGTTAAACAGGAAATAGAACTCACCTAAAAATTTCTGGCAATTCTCGTTCAAGATCGATTGACTGAAATTTCATAGGAATTTCCTTTGAAGAGGTTGACGATATGCTTGACCTAGGTGACACTTTCAGTGGAAGTGTTCCACGCAGTTCCGACCCTGACAATACTCTAGATATTTTCCTGGGGTTGGGAGTGCTAAGCCTACGCGATAATTCTGGATTCCGAGTAAGGGAACTTTTTCTCGATGTTGATTTGCGGCGACAAGATCCCGGAACAGATCCTGGTGACGATGAGAACGAGCTTCTGGAAGATCCGGGTGAACTTAGTACTGCCGCATTCAGTGCTTCTACTTTGACCGATCTTCGTTCAGATAGCGGACTTTGTAGCGTTACTGATTTATTGCTGGGTGACGACAGGTCATCATGAGCTGAAGCTGCATCTTGATGGTTTTCCAATGATTCTTGAGTAGGAAGTCCTGGTGATTGCTCTTGTTGTGCCGTCCCGTTCAAGGAAATTGGTGACAGAGGTGGAGAATCCGGCTCCGATGGAATCTCAGATACCACGGCAAGGTTAGGCTCGAAATCCATACCAGGTGATCCTCCAGGTGTGGGGTTCATTTCCACGACAGAGGTGCCCTTGTCAGGGTCCGCCATTCTGGAATAGCATTATCATAGATGTGATTGATTATAAGCGAAATCGGGCAACCATTGCTGAGAACATTATTTTTTAGTTGGATGTTCATAGATGGAAGCTAACGAAGCTTTTAAATGACTGACATATAGCATTTGATATCACTACTATCAATAGAAAGCACAGTACTAGATTGAGGAGTTATTTATGGATGGATGGATGGATGTGCTCCCATACAAAAGCCAACAAGCAGCAAGGTGAGAAGAAGAGGGGGTAATATGCAAGATATTTGTGAGATATATTTCTTGCATAGGGTACCATATGTCGCTTAACATATCGGAAAGGATTCCTTTAAGAATGGATGTGCAAAAACTCATTGTCTCATACTATTGGTGAGGAGAGACTTTTCAGCTTACTCGTGACATATCATGTTATATCAAATGTGATTCAAATCTCTAATCTTGTACAATGGCATCTTTGACAAGAAGCAACCCTACAAATACTCTACACTGTTTGCTGCCAACAGCTGTTCTGGCAGCATAGTTCCGGAAAAAATACATCGAGCTGAAACTAAATTAGTATGAGAAGTCAAGAAAAATTGTGAGAAAGGAAAATGTGCTGTTATGATGGCTCTACCAGAAGAGAACGTTTGCTAGAAATTTCTTATTTTGGTCAGTAAGATCAGCGCTGATATAGCCATGTCAAGGAACAAGTTGTTGCTACGCAAGTACTCTGCTAATATATTTTTAAAGTAATTCTTGATTTCAATGGTTAATGTTGTTAGTAATTGCAGTCTGTTCAGTAAGGCATGAATGATAGAGGTACGCAGAATGTTCTTATGTTGAGTGATCTACAGTTCAACTGTTGCGATTTCGCAAAGGAAACTAGCATTTCTCTCGAGTATAACTGAAACTTGGTTTGCATGAAACGGGCCCATACGCCTCTAGAAGAGAGGAAAAAGACTCACCAGCGGATTGCTGAAACGGAGTTTTGGAATGATTATGACAGATATACACATTATTTTGTACTCTATCTGTACTTAAGTGTAAGTGAGCTGCGTACACGTAATAATTATGTAATCAAATTATGATTGTACATAAGGTGCATGATTTGGGTACGAACGGATAGTTCTGGACATAAATTACGCAATAGTATTTGAGGACAATCAAGGTGCACACAGTCAACAAATACAACTATTTGCCTCCCTGATCATGGCTTTTGAGGTCGCAGACTGTTTGACAAAGACAAACATAGTCACAAATTAATTTAACATCATATTTTTTTCATTTATTGTGCCAAGACTGCGCGCAAGAAGCGGTGAAGGCAAAATGCTGACGATTTCAGTCAATCCAAAAAAGAATGGCAGCAAACTTCTTGGATGCAGTAGCAAAATAATCCTGCTTTCTGGTACACAAGAAAACGGTCCGCTGAAACCCTTAGCTGTCAAATTATAAGTGGCATCTTTTTGCAATCAAAGACCATGCGATGCCAGCCAATGTATACAAAATGAGAATCAAAAAATTTTTTCTTTTCAGTACCTTCTAAGTCATGTGCCAAACACATTCTGCTTCGTAGTCAAAAACGCTATCAAATGCGTGCGAGCCTTTACAATGTATTGCGGGGGCCAGTTAGATACCAAGCCGAAGCTTTCATTCTCTCAGGTTACTCTGTTACCGATTTACCACCCGCAGGATAGAGAGCTTGCACAGGGGCGCGATCGAACCAGGACCCAGTACGAGGGCCGCAAATGGACATCGGTGAAACGACTTCGCCCTCGCCGCTATCCCTTCAGTCACATAATTCCACAACACTCTGCACTATGCTCCTCCTAGTCCATGTCCGTTTATACTCCAGATTCTTAGTCTTTTCGTTATGCGCTATAACTGAGACATTTGAATACAGCTCAATAAGGTCATTTGGATTTGTGAAGACGAGGCGCGAGCAAGACCGTGCTTTTACATGTCAGTCTTGTATCACCTTGTCGAGAGAATGTATGTGCATGTGAACTTGTTAACGATGTCCCCCTTCTTTTTCATCTAAAAGGTTTCCTGCCTGACCCACTTCGTGCCGGGCTCTGAACCGAACCGTTGATCCGACCTGGTCATAATGACACCTCATAGCCACTATGACTATGCCACTCGTCCGCCTTTACAGTGCAATTGAAATGGAATCTGTCTTTAGATACAGGTTGCTAAAAGCTAAAGAGACTGGAGACATGTGGTAGTTATATTAACAACATTAGTGCTGCTATAATTGTGGCCTTAGTGTAGCACTGAACATATATTTGCCATTAGATTATAAAGTTCGACCATTTTCTTCAATCTAAAAAACATTTTTTATCGATTGCTTTGTAGTACTCTTTCCTACACAAATGAGTATTAGGTTGTTTGATACTTTTTCAATTTCACTTTTTACCACAATGAGTCATGCATTTTCAATTCTAATTACGTTGCAGGGTACCGCTCGATTGAGCAAAGCAAGCTCTGTGAGTGACTAGTGATTGTTTGCACCACCTTCAGTACGCCTGAGTCAAAAGCTGATTTTGATGCTCGGATGCCCGAAATATTGAAAAATTTGCAACAAAGAAAACCTAGTGGATATCCCACTTGCCCACGCATGTACACTTCACATTACATGTTGATATATGCCGTTGCCGTAAGCTTCAGTTTCTAATAAATATTGATTTTCACATAAAATACTCTTGCACACCTCTGTATCCGTACTCCTCGAAAACTAGAACTGGCAGGAAGCTAAAATCAACTATTGTATTCTAGGCTTGTAGTATACATTTACTTATATGGGAAGAGCACAGCTTCGCTTCTTTTTTTTGCTTGCGAATTTTAATCTTCTTGATTTTCTAGCTTAGAAACAAATACAGCAACAGCATATATGAATACGTAACGTGCAGTGTATATGCTTGTACAAGTGGGACAACCGGTAAGTTTTTTTGGGCAAAAATATTCGATTTCCGACTCGAGCTGTACTGAAACTGTTGCAAACTTACACGCCATCTTATAGAGCTTGCTGCTCTATCAAATGGTGCTGCGTCTTGATAGATTTGTAAAATATATGAATTATTGCAGTAAAAATCAGAGTTGAAAAACTTTTGAGAACTTAAAGGCAGTAACCAGGCTAAATCTGACCCCCTCCGATTAGTGTCGATCCTGAATGTAGGCTCCAGGAGAGAAGCATCCCGCGCCCTCAAGACAGGGCCCACAGGAGTCGGGGTTTTTGGGGGTTTTGGACTATTTGAACTTCATAACGGTAATCAAGGCCACGGAAAAACCCCGGAATGGCAAAAACATGAGAGGCAAGATTTTGGGTGGACGCTGCCTTTAATAGTACGCATTGGTGTAGTACAGATTTTCTTGATTTAGCATTTCATCATTGGCAGCTCCAAAAAGTCAACACCAAAAGCGATAAGCTTCGGATTGTTCCGGGACTTACTTACTTAGATGGCCCGACTTCACTTGACGTGGGGGTCCCAGCACAGAAGTCTCCATTTGTCCCTGTCCCTCGTTTTAGACATCCACGATCTTCTTGGTTGTCCTCGGTGGCTGCGTCCACGAGTTCCAGGTGCGGTAGACCAGCTGATTTCTCAGCCGGTCCGTTCGTTCCGCGAACACGTCTGCCCATCTCGTTGGTGGTCTTCCTCAGGGGCATTTAAGTTCCCGAGGAATCCACTCAGATGTTCTTAGTGTCCATCTGTAGTCTGTTCTTCACATGATGTGACCCGCCCATCGGTGTTTCGCTTTCGCTAAGTATTCTGCTGGGTCACGAAGACGGGACATTCTTCTCATATCCGCACTGCGAAGTCCGACTAGATGTTGCTTGTGTCGGGTGATCTTCAGAAAACTGCGCTCGAGCGCTCTGTGAGTGATCCGTAAAGCTTTCGACGTGGCTACAGTATCAGCCCAGGTCTCAGCTGCGTAACAGAGCGCCGGGAGAACAGTTGAGTCGAACAGGTGGGCACGAAGCTCCGGGTCCGTTAGTTGGTCAGTGGCTTTCTTCAAAGGCCCGAAGGCGGCCCAGGCTGCTCTTCTTCTCCCGTTAAGTTCTTCCCTCAAGTCGTTCTCCATGTTCATTGGACGATTGTTCGGTAGTTTTGTTTATTAGGAATTTCTTTCCCAGTGTAGAGATCAGCCTTTACATTACCAAATATAGCAAATGTCACCAAAAACCCGACACTTTTTTGCGCAATTTGGAACAAATAGTACCGCTAAAGCAGGTTTTACTCCAACCAGTTCTCAGAAATCTTCACCTCCAAAGGAGAGTCAGAAAAAAAAACGTGGATTATTAGAATACACCATTGACCTTTGCAATTTTTTGATGAAAGCGTTGAAAACTCATTCAGGTGATAGTTTGAGAAAGCCAAGTGCATGCTCCCCAACCAGCTGGAGTGTTGAGAAAACCTCAAACCCAGAATCTCGATATTTTCGATATATAATCGATACTTTTGTCGTTCGAAAATCTTCTCATGATCCTAATTCCAAATACAATGCCCAGAATTCGTGAAAAACCCATCGGGGGCAAGTTGCCGTTAAGGGGTCCACTTTGTTACAAAGCAGCAATTTCCTCGCTTCCAAAGCAACATTTTGCGCCACGCTGATTGGTTCAATAAGCCCCACTATCGAAGCCAGCCCACTATGCCAAAAGCTCAATCCCTAACTTAGAGTGTACGGTGCCTTCAAAATTCCACGCTTGCGTGGCCCATACGGATGAGCCTCTGCGAAGCAGATGTGAAGCACTGCGGCCGTTTTTATCAACGAATCCTGAGGGTAAAACCCTCGAAATTACCGGATAATTGCTTTCACGGGTAAAATTTATCCTCAAAGTATGTAGTCTTGAGGTTGAGCGTACCCTGTGCTTCGTGAATACGGGCTGTTCGCTTTCTGAGGTGAAACTTTTCTCAAGGGTAATGTTTACCCTCAGAGTTCTTTGATGGATACGGCCACTGGCTTGATATTACTAGAAAAACTTTTTTCATTTTTCAAGCAGGTAGGTCGGCCGCACCACTGCGTCTCGCTAAATGGTTGTTCTACACTTTTATTACAGGTAAAGAGCAGCAGGGTAGAGGGTCCTTTGATCGTGAAATTTTTTCGTGTGTTCAAGCTGGTCGAATTTTAAAAAACCAGTGGTTTCGTACTTGTGAATAGAATGTACCACTCAAAAGCAGTGTCTCACCTGTGAGTGAGTGTGAGTCAGTTTTCTAATTCGCTATTGTAGCTGACTCGTGGAGTTACAGGGCGTGCCAAGATGCGACGTTTGAGGAGCTGAGAGGAGAGATGGACGGACAGTGACCACAGCTGGCGACTCTCGACTCCGGGTCCCGTCGACCGTCTGCCAGCCATCCCTGCAGCCTCGCTTCCCCTCGCAAATAGATCTCATTGCTCACAGTATTCATATACTGTCTTCTGTTTAATTTCCAATATATTATTATCCTTCAACTGTTCGACCGCGGATCATTTACTCACCAAATCGAGGTAGTGCGGGTCGCCACAAATTTTGTTAGAGGACCGCTTGAACAAGCGACCGCTTAAAGGCAGCATACACCCTGAGTCTATGTTACCCAGTTCTCTAAACGGTGTATATGTAGGGCCCAAAAACCAACTGCATTGGTCCGGTCTCCCGATGTTGCTTCTAAGGGGAGAAGACACGCCTAATTATTTTTGCACTCCTCCCCTTTTTTGCGATCCGCCTCCTTCGGACGAATCTACGACAGCGTAAGCTGCAGTTGCAGTTGCAACTGCAGGCTGTCATGCAGTTGGAGCTGCTCCTCGCTGGCATGTAGACAACAATTCGAAAATCGCCCTCCTTCTGAAGAGAAGGTCCTCAAGAATCGGAGTTTTCTAAGGGTTTTGAAAAATTTGAATTTCATAACTGCGACTAGAGTCACGGGAACATCTCAGCATGACAAAAATATGGGAGGCGAGCTTTTGGGTATACGCTGCCTTTAAGCCCGACTCGATCTTAACTCTTCTATGCCGAGAAATCTGCCCTCAAAGTGGCCCACAAAAAGCGTGGCTCGCCGGCCGACGCTCCCGGTTTCCCCTTTGCGCATTTCAACATGTCTCTCCACTTTGCGTCCAACTCCACGGTGTCGCTGCCACTGGACGAAAGCTAGGCTGAGAAGGCATAACTCGTCCGCGTTGCTTCCATGAGCTTTCGAAAAACGGGGTTTTCGTGCATTTAAGGCGACTTTAGACCCACATTGAGTTAGACAGGGACGAATAGGCTTGCAATATCAAAAATCTCGACAACCAAACTTTGGTGAGACACTGCCTTTGAGCGCTTCATCACTGAACTTCCACTGTTAAGCTTCTGTGAAACTATTCTAACCGCACACTTGAAGCACTAGTTTCTAGTTTCATAGTGGGGTAGATATAAGCATGGGGTTCACGATCTCATCACATCAATCAATCGCGCAATGGAACAAATCTCAATTTAAGCAGAAAGGATGAGTTCATAGCTCTCACTAGTAGCTTGAGCTTCAACAGAGCTTTTGCGGCTATTTAATGTAAAACAAGCTGAGGTCAGGTTACTGGGCACTGCAGAAGAAACAGAGCTCAACCACCGGCTCAGACAATCGCCGGGGCAAGCGGTCCGCAAATTCGCGCTTTTCTGCAAGCGGTCAGCAGAATATTGTGGCGTGGCCAAACCTTCAACGGGTGGCACTTCCTTTACGGTCGCATATTCTGCCAGCGGGCAGTAATACAGCATTTTCTGCAAGCGGTCGGCAAATAATTTCTTTCAGCGAGCGCTGACCAAACTTTCAGCAAGCGCTCGGACTCTTTTTAAGCAGTTTCGGACGTACGCGAGCAAAGGTGAGACTCTATATGGCAGAGGTGTCATCGATGTTTGAGTACCCGAGTTTGGGGCACCTTCTTTCAGCGAAAGGTATGCTTGGCAGTGCGGTCCTTCACAGAAGACCGTGCGGCCCCCCAACAATTTTGCAAGTCCACGAGAATGCGGCCACTGGGCCGCAACTTATCCAAAGAAAAATCGCGATAGTTCTCCGAGTCTTCGTCTAGAAATTGGCCAAAATTATTTCAAATTTTGCAAGCGGACCGCAAAAAATCAGCGAACTATTTTTCTGGTGCCCGCTTGCTCAAAATTCGCATGGCCGCCTGCCCCTGGCGATTATCTGAGGGGGTGCGGCGGCAGAATAAGCAGTCATTAATTGATCAGATGAGACTACTCTTATCCTAGATATGGTAGCGTGCATTTGCGTTGTCGAAGCACTGAATGCCTTCTTTGAGTCTTGAATTCTTTTTTGACAGGGAAGATGATGCGGGTGCATGCAAAAATCTGAACTTCGAATAAACTTTGAATCTTATATATAAAGCTGAATGTCTGTTTGTCTGTATGTCTGTCTGTCTGTCTGTCTGTCTGTCTGTCTGTGTGTACGTATGTTCCGAATAGAAAATTCCATTTCTGAACCGATCCGGACCAAACTTGGCACACATACACTACGGGCCCCGGCGGGTGTCATAGGCTACTTTTCGTCATCGATCGATATCGATTTTATCGATTTTTATCGATTTTTTTGCTGAGTTCACCTACGGGGCTGGGAGTTGGCACAGGGGGGTAATCGAGCATGGGGATTCCGAATACAATATTGGTTTTCAGGATTATCGATTACTTTTATCGATTTTATCGATTTTTTTGCAAAGTTTGAGCTACGGGGCTGGGAGTTGGCACAGGGGGGTAATCGAGCATGGGGATTCCGAATACAATATTGGTTTTCAGGATTATCGATTACTTTTATCGATTTTATCGATTTTTTTGCAAAGTTTGAGCTACGGGGCTGGGAGTTCGCACAGGGGGGTAATCGAGCATGGGGATTCCGAATACAATATTGGTTTTCGAAATTATCGATTACTTTTATCGATTTTATCGATTTTTTTGCAAAGTTTGAGCTAGGGGGCTGGGAGTTGGCACAGGGGGGTAATCGAGCATGCTGATCATCCCCAAGGGGGGTGATCAGCATGCTCGAACACTCCTGTGCCAAATTCCAGCCCCCTAGCTCAAATTTTCAAAAAATCGATAAAATCGATAAAAGTAATGGACGATCTTGAAAACTAATATTGTATTCGTAATCTGCATGCTCGATTACCCTCTGTGCAAACTCCCAGCCCCGCAGGTCAAACTTTGCAAAAAAATCGATAAAATCGATAAAAGTAATGGACGATCCTGAAAACTAATATTGTATTCGGAATCCCCATGCTCACTTCCCCCCTGTGCCAACTCCTAGCCCTGTAGGTGAACTCTGCCAAAAAATCGATAAAATCAATAAAAGCAATCGATAATTCTGAAAACTAATATTGTATTCGGAATCCCCATGCTCACTTCCCCCCTGTGCCAACTCCTAGCCCTGTAGGTGAACTCTGCAAAAAATCGATAAAAATCGGTAAAATCGACATCGATCGATAACGAAAAGTGGACTGTGACTCCCGCCGGGGCCCGAAGTGTATGTGTGCCAAGTTTGGTCCGGATACGGCGGAGCCGGGTAAGCCAGCTAGTAAAGCCAATAAAGCAGCTAAATAAAGAAAATACTGATCCCGGTGTGCAGCTCAAACAGTCTTAAAAATGCTAAGATTCGCTCCAAAACACCACACCGTTCTTATATTACTTCCTTTATTAATCATTAATTTCTCAACTCTGATATTTCATACATACGCGCAACAAAACACCTGAAATCACATCCGATTTTTTAAAAAGGATATCAAGTCGCACTGGCAAATTGAGAAGTCATGTATATTACCAGATGCATCTTCCAACTCTGTCCAACCTGTTTTCGTTTTTTGCAGAACAATTATTACGAAAAAGTTATGAGCGCTTGATATCAAAATCTGTCAAACCGTGGAGTGAAATCAGTAAAAAGCTGCATAAAGACGTCCAAAAGTTGAATGAGCAATATAATACCGAATATAATGACTACATGGAAAGGACAAAGCTACCAAGAATCCGTATAGGTGGTTTTGTAAAACTTTTTGCTTATTATATACCACTTGAGACCTGACAAGCTTGGAATTTTGAGTGCTCACAAATCCTTTTGAAAAGTTGCTCCGCAGAAGAGAACAGTTGGAATCAGCGTTCAAAGACCGCTTGATGATATACATCACTTTTCGATTTGCTAATGCAACTTGGTATCTATTTTTTATCAGAAGCGCGCTCAAATACAATGATATGTTCCTGAGCAGTCAGCGAGGAAATGATAAGCCGATTATTCAGCACGTGTCAAAGAACAATGTTGGGCAAACACTCGTTTGAAACTTACAGGTCAATCCCTAGACCTGGACCCGAAGTATGATCAGCGGAATTCTTATAACTCACTTGCAGATTGGTAGTCCGAGGGCTATTATCTCACGTAAATCTTTGGAGAGACAGGTACCATGCGCTTAGTGCAATCATTCAGAGCGATTTTCTTTTTTGTTGCGCAGATTTATCCACTATTTCAAACATTACTGTTTGGTAATCCCCAACCATTCAAGGCAGAAGAATGTTTCATTGAATCAAACGTTGTCCTGCTCAAAGAGCTAAGCAAGCAGTATGTCAAGAGTTTTTTCGACAAGTGAACAAGAAGAGCTAGTAAATAAGTAAAACTTGATACTTTGGATATCATCAAGCTCCATCCATGGATGACCAAACTGTTTTGAACAATGAAGATGCAAGTTTGTAAACTTAGCATGTTAATATAGGAAGTGGACCAAAGCATGCTATTTCTACATGAATACATTCTTCTTATATTATAGCAGGAGGATTAGAAACCTTTCATGAGAAAAACCTCAGAAAATAAAGGCCAGCTATATATCTCCGAGCATTCAAGTAACGAAAGATTGTAAACTTGGACAATACTATCACAAAAAAAAATTGTGTTCCAACGCTTACCTGAACAAAACGGCCTTCGATTATTGAGTGCTGGCTCAACAAAAAACCGGAGAGCTATGCAGCTGAAAACACAGTTGAATTCAACGATTCATTGCGTATATGCGCCAAGCAGACAATAAAGGCCATTGATAAAGGGAGATTCAAAGCATTTGAAAGCTTCACAAAGGCTTATTTATCCAGTATCCAATGCTTATCAAAAATCGCATACTTTTGAAAGTGATTCTTGGGCTTACATATAATTTGCTTTTAATGTAAATTTTGGAGATAGGGATGTTTGTGATTACTATAAACTTGAGAAATCATAACGGTCGTCAGAACTTACGGGTTTTGATCAGATTGTTGTTGATTACGCGAATTTAGATGGATAAAGCGTTGTCGCGTCTTTATTGAGATGAAAAGCAGAATGAATCAACACTTAAATTTTGAAACACTTCATTTATAAAAGTCTAATCTAGAAATTATGGACACAGCTGATGTGTTCCACTTTGTAAAAGGCACCTTTTCATTAGCAAATATATCAGGTTTACCTACACCGCCAACTACATCCTGCACTCTTTGCGATGTTCCCGGATGCGGTTCTGAAGTGAAGCAAGCAGAGTTGTGCAAATTTTGTCATTTACATTTTCATCAGTTCTAGCAGTAGAGTGGTGCTATGTCAACAAGGATAACTTTCGTCCTGCCCATGTTCCTTTACATTTATCAAGGGACTGAACCTCCATACAAAAACAGCAGCAATTGACGTGACTGAAGTTTAGGCAGAAGGCGATGAAGGCGTTGAAGCAAAGGCGATGACAAGAAAATTTTATGTGAATAGGCACTGGAAGGAACATGAATTGTCTATAAAAAAGACATCGTTGGGAAGTAAATTATGCCCCTTTTTTCTACTTCTCTCAGGAATATTTCTGCAAATTGGACGATCTTGCACTTCGGTGAAAAACAATAAAGTGTAAGTCACATACCCAATTTGGTTCACAGTCTTAAACTTATTACTTGGAAAAGTGTATCGAAGACTATTGAAGATGCCTACAGTATGAAAGTCTGATCTCAGTCTGATTAAGCCAAAGAACCAGGGAGACAATATTTTTTTTGAAAATTCTCAGTGTCAAGCAGCCCATAAACCAGACCGCGTGCGCTCATTTCTAACCTAATTAAATGAGAGTGCAAAAAAATCAATAAATCGATAAACGAGGTTGAATCTGTTAGGAACACTTGCTGGCCTTCCGTTTGAACCTTGCTTTCCGTCAGGTGCGCGTAGAGAGCCTCGCCAAGGTCTTGATTAAGACTAACGAAAGATTTTTCAAGTTCTGCTTGGTCCTATCGCAGTCGAGCGCTGTACGACTCTTCCCCGACCAGAAAGCATGACGAATCTTGGAAGGAAGAAAGACTGCACGACCTTGTTGTTCGTTGGGCATGAGCCATCAAAGCAGAAAGTGTGTTCGGTCTTCTGACATTTGGTAAGCAGTTATGGTTTTGTTAGGGAGGCCAAGTGCGGTCATCTTAGTCTTGAAGGAGTCTTCGGCGGACTTAGCCGTATACTTCTTTTAATCTCTTCGGCTTCGATCACCACTGCTATAGTCTATCTCAGTCCGTATAAATCAAGATAGTGGTACGCATCCGCGTCGATGCGCATTTTTATGTCACGCCTAAGCTGTGCCTAATCTCTTTTCAATCTCTTCATCCTCTCTGACAGTCAGCAGTATCAATTCCAGAATCTCCGACCAAAGACGTTTTTTTTTGTATTTCTTGACTCTTACCTCCTTCCTTGTTAGCGCAATCGTGAAGATGCTGGACAAACCGTTCGTATTCCTCGTCGGTTTTGTCACTCACGATTTTTCGCCAGTAGCAAATATCGAAGAAAACATATCCCATTTGTGAAGTGGGACGATGCTTTTTGAACTGAAGGCCCTTCCCCTCCGTAAGAAGTGGTACTCAGCATGAAGGCGACGGTCTGATCCGTGTAAAACATCGGAATGAAGGCTATCAGTGGCTGAATAAGATTATCCCGTATAAAACTTCACAAATGAAGTGCAAGCTATCACTGAACTAACAATAAGAAGAAAGTGCAAGGCTAGTGTGGCTGTGGCTAGGAAGCTCATTTTGATGTTAGCGATAAGATGGTAGAAACGCAAATTTTGCCTTGCCACAGGTCTGTGATAGTGGTATTCTGGTTCATTCAAAAAGAACATTACTGAAAAAAGCCGTTGTTTGATTAAGGAATGAGGGCATACCACTGAGCGAGTTGACCTGATCGTTTAAACCAAGCCGTAGTGCTCTTTTGTTATTTCTTACCACCCCAAACTTTCCACTGTCTCTATGAGTTTAGGCGATGTTCATAGTGAAGTTCATAAGTTCCTTGTCTGCACCAAGATCTAAAGCATTTTTTCAAGCCATGCTACGCATAAGCATAAGTTAATCATAGAACGGTGATGATTCGACTGCGGTGCGCCCAATCAAAAGTTACGAGAGCGTAAAACACACAAAGACATTACTTTATTGTTTAAGTTAATCACTCCCTATAACTAAAAGCTAATACCACTTAGTCTGTATCAACCAGTCAATCAATCCTGCCTGTTATGCCGTGCCTTGTATTGCCATCGCATACGACGCGAATTACGCACGTGACTTAAAGGCAGTGTCCGGGCAAAAACTCGATTTTGAGATTTTGTGTTTATTTGGGCCTATTCGCTACGCTGAATCCGAAAATGCACATTGAAGAGCTCGAAAATGGCGAAAAACGGCTCTAACCTAGGAGGGAAATAAGCAGGTGGGCGGGGTCCTCCCCACTGCGAATTCACGTTTCCGGCTTTCGGAGCGACCTTCTCGCTTCCGGTTTCAAGTCAGTCATTCGCACTTGGCCGGTAGCGATGTTAGGGCGGCTAGCGGAGTCGAGAAAATCGCTGCGGGAGCTGGGAGCGTGAAATCGCACTGGGGAAAGCCCCGCCCACCTGCTGATTTCCCTCCTGTGTTAGAGCCCTTTTTCGCCGTTTTCGCGCTTTCCAATGTGGATTTTCGGATTCAGCATGGCGAATAGGCCCGTATAAGCACAGAATCTCAAAATCGAGTTTTTGCCCGGACACTGCCTTTAACGCGTAGCAGGCTTCGCACGCGTCACACCGCGCCGTCGCGAGTTGCCGCAGTACCGATGTTGGTTGATACAGCCTATATGCGCGCAAAGAAAGGATTTGATAGGGGGTGGAAGTCAAGAAAATGTGGTTGTCATAAGCGCTTACACTAGCGCGATCGCCGCCATCATCGCGATTTTCTGAATCCCCTGAACTTGTTCCTTGCTCTCCCTTCCCACCCCCTTCTTCCCGCGCTGTCTTTTGGGGCGGTGCGATGGAACGCTTTCAGATCGCTGTCGTCTCCTAGATTTGATCATGTTACCTTTTTCTTTTTACGCGAATCCTCTGATCGGCCCTTTCTATAATGAAGTGACTAGTATCAGTAATAGGTCAACCACGTTGGGTGTATGCCCTTCTGAACCGCTTCGCCCTAGCGCTAATTACTGTGCCCGGGCGGCGCTAATTACTTCGCCTTTCTTATAATCTATCAGAGTTTTCAAATATTTCTAAGCATTCCAAAGCAAGCGAGGCACACGAATAACGATAATGACGATGTTTAAATTATGTAGAAAAATTTGGAAAACATGCATTTTTTTGTTGGCTTTTCGTGGTTTTCGCCCTTCCCACTTTTCAAAACACCATGAAGTCTGCATGTGTAAGCTGAAGAATTAATCTAAGCCGCCCGCGCATAACACTTTTGAACTTCATGGGGAACTCGAAATCTTGTTTAATTCTTTGCATGAAGATGGCTGACAGCATAGCTCTCGCCTACCCAAGCGCCGCCGCAGCGCCGACCAATCAGAGGCGCGCAGTAGTTAGGATGCTAATGCTAGCAGTTCCGAAGGGCCGTCTCCCAACCACGTTTGCTCTCATCTTTCCATGCTGACAAGGATTCGTAGGGTCCATTTCAGCCCATCCAGGAATCATCGACTCACTAGTTCAGGCGAGGGCGGAGTCGTGCGAGCGTATCAGCGATGCGGTTGTCCACTATCAACACGTTTCGGATAGGTGCTGCATGGTGCATCACGCTGCTTTGAAGGACCTTTTTGACGTTTGCAGGAGGTTTTCTTTTAGTCTATGGTTTCATTTCAAAGGCCTGAGCTTCTACTTTTCAAATGATTCTGTAGAGTTGTGCCGCCGATATTTGCTTAGGAGATATGAGCAGGGTTGAGCAAGAGGTCAGGCACAAGCCCTTCGAAAACGACCCCCCCTCCCCCCTATGAAAGCCCCTAAACGACCGCCCCGCTTCACCTGCAGGTGCTCGGGGTGTTATATTTTGAAGAAGACCAGCCTTCACAGCAGGTTTCTATTTTTTTAAAGTCTGTAAGCCCGACTTTCTGCGATTGCACACCACACGCAAGTTGACGGCAAGTTTTTGGATCTGGATAGCCCTCTTTTCAGAGCTATAATTTTCACAGAGGTGGATTGTTTGGCTTCAAATTTCCAATATAGCAAGAAGAGGATTTGCGCTTAATACTCATTTCAAGAAAGAAGCGATTTTTGAGCACTGAAGGCAAGTTAATGGGGTCAGGCGCAACCTCTCAAAAGCTCAGGCGGCTTGACCTTTTGAGGGGTTACGCCTGACCCCATTAACTTTATTTTCGAAGAAGCTTTTCTATGCAAGTTTTGAATGATTCGCTAGCTCGACCCTCGAAGATTCTACAGTAAGTGTTTGAGCTTGGCTCGACTTGTTTCGGCCTTGTGCTAATCCGAGGAGTTGAAGCACTCAATGTGAAAAACGTGCTGGTTGGAATTTTTGCAGCACTTCTTACTTCACTGTTTGAAAGCGAAATGAAGCCTGATTTGCAGCATAGACTTGTACTGAACATTACTTTGTTATGAATATAGAAAAGCTTACATCTTTCGCTTTTGAAACCAAGTTAATCATGTTTGAAAATCCGTTTTTGGGCGTTGAGAAATACTAGAAACTGCGGAAGCGATGGTTTGTAGAGCGCATAGAGATAATTCGACATTCTGATTACGGGAATGATACCCATTGCACACAGCAAGCTTTCTTGTTGTCGACCTCATGATATGTCAAGGTAAAAGGTGAGAATTGAATTTCGGCTGAAACTTTGACTGTGTAAACAATCAGTATGCTATCGACCGTCTTTACGACCGTTATTCCTTCAGTACTGGCGATTGCTATATCCGCCGGACTAGCGCATTTCTTTTTCACCGTCGTAGTATCTCCCTAACTGAACAAATTCGGTTCTTAATTACGACCCCCCCCCCCTTCAGTCTTACCCTCAATACGACCCCCAGCTCGGGCGCGCCTGACCCCACGCTCGACCCTGGATATGAGCACAAATCGAACAACAGTTGTAACGAAGCGCGGCAACGCGACCGACGCGCGCGATGTCGCAATTTTTCTTTGCTTTGATATCAAGGGGAAAAACTGTAGTTTCAAACTTATGTTTTCCGTTTACAACATGGACACTTTTGGATACTGTTAGAAACTGAGATCTTGTTCCTATCTTTCAGGAAAGCATAAAAGTCCTTCTCAAGCGACATAATTTAAACACTTCGAATTCATGCAGAACTTTGGGTATGGAACTTATCTGACAAGCTGATTACATATGTAGCACAGAGTCTACGAAATAAGGTCCCTTTGCTGGCTAATGGCCTAAAGATCATTTTTTTGAAGCGCGCGATTTCGCGGTCCGAAACGAGTTAAAGGCGCCGTCCATTTTAAATGAGCGATTTTGAGCTTTCCGGCGCTTACGATAGTATGACTCTCTATCAAGCCAGTGCCCAATCGCGGCGAAAAATGTCGCTTCCGAAGCGAAAAAATCGCTTCAGATAACGAGGCACAAGAACCCCAAGTCGGCACTGCGCCCTTCAGTAAGCCCGGATTTGGGTGGACCGTGATTTCAAGGCATGCCTGATAAAGTGATTATCGTTATCATGGAGGCCGCCCTCGCGCGAGTGTGTGGATGCATCATGTGCCATTCTGCACCACTCCCACCCGAAGCCCGTAATTTGGAAGCTGATGCTCACAAGATGATTGAGGACGGACTTCCCTTGCAGCTTCGATCAAGCAAAAAAGCGTAAAACAGCACCCTTGAAATAATAAAAAAAAGGAAAATTACCATTAATTTATAGGACAAAGAATGTGATAAAACTTTGTTCACAGTCAACAAGCGGTGATAAAACGAATTCTTCATACCTGTGTGATCCAAACGATGTGGAATAACCAGTGGATTGGCGATGGATGGATTAATTTCAATCAAATCCACCGGCAATAACGTTAATGCTATCGAAACGGGCCTTGTATAGGCAACTGCGTTCTATGAGATATGCACGTGGTAACATACATCGATCCAAAATGTTATATAATCAGTCTCATGAATATTCCTTCTGATTGTTATATAGTGCCGCAATGCTTCTGCTCCCACCATACAGCCAAACCGGCCTTATAACGCAAAGGCATAAAATGCAACTATTTATTGAATGCTAAGTTTACCATAAAAAATCAAACCAGATCAAGTTGGTAACATGCAAACAAAATATGTACAGAAAATCAAGAATATTAATTTAGTCATGGCAAATGTACAAAAATGAAATTGTGGGTAGACAAAGGCCTGAATGCCTTGCCATCTGTAAAGCCCTACGAAAGTGAAAAGCGGATTCAAAGGGTGAGCCGAGATTAGGTTGAACCGGGATGAAAACAAAAAATTAACCCGAACACATTAGGCATCCTTCGTCCACTGTCATGGAAGCCAAGCGAGCAGCAGCGCTTTGAGCCTAAACAGAAACTTAGTAGTAAGTCCGGGTAATTTGGTAACTGCAAAACTTACCGAGTCTTTTTCTTCCTTAGCTTTCAAGGCCTCCTTATCAACAGTGAACTGCACTGCGTTGACAGCTGGCTTAGTGCGTAGGTAGTACATACCAGTCTTGAGCCCCTAAAAAACAAGGGTTTGCGTACCATGTGAGCAGATAGTAACAATGCAAGATAATTTCAAAACATGCAAACCTTCTTCCATCCGTAGAAATGCATAGATGTGATATTAGCATAACTTGGACGAGCAATGTGGATATTCAAAGACTGCGACTGATCGATAAAAGCCCCACTAAAACAGTTATAGATGATTTCGTCGAGAGTTTCGATCAAAAGTCAGACTACAAAAAAAAAATTGTAAACTGACCGATCTGCAGCCATTTCAATGATATCTTTCTGTGGAAGCTCCCAGACTGTCTGGTATAGACGCTTTATGTCATCAGGGATACCCTAAAAGAAACAGAGCGTCATGAACAATAAGAACGCAAAATACTTTACGTGATAACTTACAGGGATTTTAGCGATTGATCCATGATTAGCAATCAGTTGATTTTTCATGTCCTCATTCCACAAATTCAACTCTACCAAGTCTTTCAGCAGATGTGGATTCACAATCTGGAAGTCGCCAGAGAGCACACGTCGACTGTAGATGTTGAATGTGTAGGGCTCGATGGACTCGTTGTTGCCGAGAATTTGAGCGGTAGAGGCTGTTGGCATTGGAGCTACGAGGAGACTGTTGCGTACTCCGTGCCTGTGACGTTCATTATGAACAAGATAAAACAAAACCCTCTCTGGACTCACTTCTTGATTTTCTCGCGCAACGTATCCCAGTCGCACTGGTCAGTGGGGGTGACACCCCACATATCGAACTGCAGAATACCTTTGGATACTGGACTGCCCTCGTAAGTTTCGTAAGTTCCTTAACACATACAGTGAAGAAGCGGCCAAAGTGTGGCGCAGAAAAACTTACCAAGTTGTTCAGCCAGCTCACAAGAAGACTCCAAAGCCGCATGGTAGATAACTTCAAAAATGCGCCTGTTTAGCTCACGAGCTTCTGGCGATGTGAATGGATATCGCATTAGCATGAATGCGTCAGCAAGGCCCTGTACCAAATGACTCTTTTACGGAACAGAAAGAAAGTAATAGAAAGTCTTACCTGCACCCCAAGACCGATGGGACGATGACGGAAATTCGAGCGGCGCGCCTCCTCCACGGGATAGTAGTTGATTTCAATGATCTTGTTGAGATTGCGAGTGAGCACCTGTTGTGGTTTGACTTCCACGCAAACCTCAATGTCAAACACCAAGTAAACCTTACTTTAGCTACTTCATGAAGCTTGTCAAAGTCGAACTTCTTGTCGGGAGTGACGAAACGATTCAGTGCAATTGAGCCAAGATTACATACAGCAATCTAGATCAATTTTACTGGACACAGTTTAATCGCACAAAACAAAGCTCACCTCGTCCTTGCTAGAGTACTCGACGATTTCTGTGCATAAGTTGGAACACTTGATAGTCCCAAGATTTTGCTGGTTACTCTTGCGATTGCATGCATCCTGAAACCGGGAGTTAAATAACCATCCATGGATTCAGCAAATGAACTAACCTTGTACACGATAAATGGCATACCAGTCTCAATCTGACTGGATACAATCTGTTCCCAGAGTTTGCGAGCCTTCACTTGCTTACGGAATCGGTGGTTTTTCTCATAACTAAAAGGTAAATTTCTTTGAAAAAATCAAAAATGAACAGAGATGGAACTGTCGAAGGATTGAGAAGAATCATACCTGGTGTACAGCTCCTCAAACTTCTCCCCCCAACAGTCGCTGAGCCCTGGGCATTCGTGCGGACACATAAGAGACCAATCCTCATCACGCTCAACCCTCTTCATGAATAAATCCGGTACCCAAATAGCGTAGAAAAGATCGCGAGCTCGTTCCTCCTCAGGACCGGTGTTCCTTCTCAATGCGACAAACCTAAAACCAGGACAAAATTAATAACTCCTATATGAGAACGAATGAACGATGCGCTTACTCAAAGATGTCTGCATGCCAAGGTTCGAGATAGATGGCAAAAGCTCCAGGACGTTTGTTTCCACCCTGATCCACATATCGAGCAGTGTTATTGTACACCCGAAGCATAGGAACAAGTCCATTGGATGTGCCATTAGTCTAGAAAGAATAATCATGTTGAAGAAACGATTAGCTAATGCCCTAATTACCGAAAAGGAGTTCTATACTTACCCCAGCTATTAGTGATCCCGTCGCACGGATGTTGTGCACGTTCAGTCCGATTCCTCCAGCACTCTTCGAAATCAAAGCGCATTGTTTTAGCGTATCATAAATGCCAGCAATCGAGTCTTCACTCATGGTTAGCAAGAAGCAAGAAGAAAGTTGTGGCCTGAAAATGAGTAATCAGCAAAATCACATAAGGCCTCGGGCAGAGTTCATGCGATTTGATCGTCGCGATTAAATCGCTACAAGGTAAGCATTTCAAGTTTATTGCATATCGATCTTCTTTTTCAGCTGTAATAATAAGTCACAATTAGTCGTGTTGGAAAACTATCACAACCGAAATGCAAGCAGATTGGCTTGCAATGAACTCGTAACACTTGTCTTTAGCAACTGAATCGTGACGGTCAAATCGCGTGAACTCTGCCGAGGCCTAAAGCTGCATCTGATGCCAGTAGATGGATACTTACCATGTGGTTCCCGCATTGAAAAGGGTTGGCGATGCATGTGTGAAGTATCGTTCACTCATCAAGTTGTAAGTTTCTATCGCTGCATCGATGTCTTCTCCATGTATGCCAACAGCTACTCGCATAAGCATATGCTGGGGACGTTCAGCAACCTGGAAATCATGATACCGCCTGATTCAAGAGACTTCAGCTTGAAAAGCGTTGGCTGTAAACAGCTATAAGCATACCTCCTTGTTAATTTTCAGCAGATATGATCGCTCAAGTGTTCTGAATCCAAAATAAGTGTAGGAGAAGTCGCGATCGTAAACTATAGCCGAGTTGAGTCTCTAAAATCATGGATTCTTGCAAAAGCAAAATCAAATTAAAACGAAACTCACATCAGCATTCTTCATAATAATGTCGTAAGTCTCCTTGCTGATCATAGGAGAATGTTCGCCGGTAGATGGATGACGGAACTCGTACAGCCGCTTCATAACTTCGGAAAAGACCTGCAAATGTTCTACAATACTTCAAAGACAGAGTAAAACTGAGACTTACTTTTCCAGTCTTCTTGTGCAGATTCGAAACAGCTATACGAGCAGCAAGGATCGCATAGTCAGGATGTTGAGTAGTCATCGAAGCTGCGGTTTCCGCAGCCAAATTATCCAACTCAACTGTAGTCACACCTTTGTACAATCCTCCAATAACCTTCATTGCAACGAGCACCTAAAAAGTGTACGTTTAGTGGAGCAAGCGACAAAAGAAGGGAAACGACTGCATAAAATAGAGAATATACCACTTACAGGATCTACATAGTCCATGTTAAGGTTGTACGAAAGCTTCTGGATCCTGGCCGTGATTTTGTCAAAATGCACGGTTTCCTTTCGGCCATCTAAAACCGTAGCATTCTAGGCAATCATGAATGTTATTCAATGGATTTCCTAGTAATGCGTGATTGATGTCTTGAACAGAATTCTCCAAGAAAAGTCAAGAAAAGAGTGGTATAAAAAACCCCATGCACAAGCTTATCATGATGATCAGTTCCCGCGCAAGCTTTTCGCTTATTTGTGCTCTACGGTAGATTTATAGCACACTGCTTGATATTTTCTCAAAATCTACTTGTTGCGCATTACTCGTGATGCAAGCGCAAGAAACCCAGTAAACAAACACAAATCGATTTGTTTACCTCTTTTGACGACGTATGTGCTGCTATGGCGTTGCATTGTTAGTTACTCCAACAGCACGAATGCTGATTAGCTCTGAAATAGCAGATGTATCGGAAAAGAACAAAGAATGTGATGATTTCCAGTTTAAAAGAAAAAAAGAGGTAAAGTCGAGGACAGCAACACAAATTACTGAGCCAGTTGTCGTGGAAGTCCAGTGCTGCCGGGACTTGAAAGTAGAGTCCAAAACAAAAGAAGAAGTAAAGTACTAGAAATATATGACTAAAATGAAGAAAACTCGATGAAAAAACCGCACACGAACATTCCGACATTCATATGCTGGGATTTCGCGGCTGCTTTCGGCCGCTCCGCCCTTTTGCGCGGGATCCGCCAAGCGAACGATTTCGCAACCGCAACTCGCGTTCGAATTTGTCCATGAATGGTTACGCGGGTCACGTAGCAGGTGGGCCATTCGGCCCTAACAATTGCGAAACTGCTAGAATTTGAACGATAACAAGCCGCTAAGTGCGGGTACAACCACTGAAGGGTGCCTGAGGTACAGTGCAGGCTATAATTAGCGCAATGCATGTCGGACGAGAAGTTGCTAGGTTCATGATACCTTAATACCGCGCTCTTCTCATTCTTTCCACTCTAGATTCTCTAAAATTAGAAATGATAGTTTTTTTGGGAAAGCGAATAGGAAGTACATTGAAAAGTAAACATTATCAGTTCAGGCCCAGTTTGATGTTGATAAAAGATGCACTAACCATTTGCTCAAGCAGAATTGCCAGAAGAATAGGAAATTTGGGAAAAGGAATTAGAACTCGACACATCTGATCAAAAAAAGTATATATTTTGTATCACTATCTACCAGTGCCGTACCGGGGGGGGGCGCCTCAGCCCGCGAAAATTTTCGGGAGCACACCAAAAAATTTTTTGTCGCGCCCCCCCCCGGGCCGAAATCTTGGGTACGCCACTGCTATCTACCCTTCACCAAAAACTCAAGTTTTCTAACAGAGTATTTTTTCTCGAAACAGAGTGCATGACGTGATTCTGCTAAAATCTGATAAGGGAAGGAAGAATGGTCGAAATGGCCTTTTTATATGGGATGTAGACTGTCTTGTAGGGCTTGGAACGCTAATCTCAAGTCTCTTTGCTATGGGCTTCTAGGGGAGGAGTTATGAAGGTTTTTGTGAGTAAAAAGGTAAATGCAAAGTTAGTATAAAATCAGTGTAACCTTTTCCTAACGTTTAAATGAGGCAGCAGCGGGTTGGTGTATTTGAATTAGGAATATTTGTTGCACCGTGTGACCCGACTACCAGAAGCCCTAGGAAAAACGTTACGACTAATTTTACACTAATTTTTGTATTTGACTTTTTACTCACAAAAGTCTTCATAACTTCTCGCTCAGAAGCCCGCAGCAGATAGCGAAGGTAGATTTGAAATCAGCGCTCTAAGCTGTACTAGATAGTGTATAATGTTTTTGATTTTGATGGAGTCCATTCATATGCAGATTTTCTTGCAAGGTTCCCCAAAAATGAATAAATTTTTCCCAACCTAGTTCTGTTGAGCGCACAAGTGATAGCTCCTGAGGTTTTTAGCGAAGAAATAAATAATAATGCAAATTATTTTTCGCTTTGAAAGTGCGAAGAAAATCTGCATATGGATCTATTGTACCTTAGAGAAAAACAGTATTCTGAGTAGATCTTCGTGTATCCTGTAGAATACACGAAGTTCTACTCAGAATACTGTTTTTCTTTTTTTTGTTTTTTGGTGATTTCTTGCAATGTCCCCAAAAATTGAATAAAGTTTTCTCCAACCTAGTATCTGTTGAGCGCACAAGTGATAGTTCCTGAGTTGTATCTGCTTGTATACAAGCAATCTATATATATATATATATATATATATATATATATATATATATATATATATATATATATATATATATATATATATATATATATATATATATATATAACTCAAAGTCTGTGAGGATGTTCGTTAGGTTGTTAGTGCTTTATAGAAACGCCAGCCGTTGAACCGATTGAGCTGAAACTTTGCACACGTATATTTTCGACCCCGACGTGGTTTAGAGCTACTTTTCGCGGTGATTCACTGGGCCCTTTTATCGATTTATTGATTGGTTTACTGCAATCCAGAAAAATGAAAACTCTCCATGCTTCAACCGATCATTTTTCCATAAACATGTGAGCACGAGCGGTAGAGTCCATTTCTATCCCAAAGTCGGGAGAATGCGGCAAGTCGTCTCAAAGCGCTTTTTTGCGCATGTTTGATGAAGTTTAGAAGCGTAAGTTCACATATTTTGTTAGCTAAACTAATTTGGAGCCTCGGGTGAGGCCGGGGCTGTCAGCTAGTATAGCAATAATTTCAAGGAAGTTATTCTTGGAAGGTTGGCCGTGTTGATACGTAAGTAAGTGATGTTACCCTTCCTCGGAAAAATCTCAGCTTGATATTGGCTTGCATAATTTCTTTGGTTTTCCTCATCATTGGTTGAAGCAACCCTAAATATTTTGTGGCTCATTGAGGATACCTTACTACTTGGGAATTATCTTTTTTTTTGCGGAAATTGGCTGAAAAGAAGCTGTAAACTCATGTACTCAATTCAGCAATTAGCCAGTATGGAGTAGGGCTTCACAATGCTTTAGCGCAAAATTGTGTATCGTCTCATTTAATGACGTGAAATGTTAATAGTGCATTGTCGATGTACTAAAACGCTGATTGTTACATGAAAATATCGAGAAATTGCTGAAAATTCACTTATCCACATAGACATCGGGTTCTGATTGTGCTGGTAAGATGGTTTATCGTATTCACATATTCCAGCGCAAGACTCTGCCAATTATTTAAATTTTTAGTAGATAAGAAAAGTAACCCTGTCCTGAGGGTCACATTTAAAACGGTACTTCAGTATTGTGCTGATCCATTTAGGTTTATACCAAGCATCTTTAAAAGGTTCCATTCATTTACCATTCAGTCAAAATCGAAAACGATTCATATTTCCATTTGCTTTTGTATAATGGCTATCGCGAGAAATCAAGGCGGGGGGGGGGCTTCAAGACTTTGATGACTCATCATTAGGTCAAAGAGATAAGCAGAATAAAGTTTTGGCCAGATATGTAGCTGAGGCCCTGCCCTATATGTCCCTATCCGCTTTTTTCAAAGGAATTTCGGCAGATATAAGTGACAAACTGAACTGAAAACTGAAAGTGACATGGGGGCCGAGTGAAAGGGAGTAAAGCTCAATTAATTACATGTTCACTTTTCATTGTTGTGACCTAAAAACACAAAAAATGAGACTAACCTTGTTTAATTTCGACTATCATTAAAAACGTATTTATTCAGTCCGTGTTTTGTCATTCGTTTCGATTACTCTAAACCAAGTTTGCTTATTACTAGCACTAAGGCCGAAAACAAACTCAGATTACATGTGCTGAACGCTCATTATGCACTTAAAGTTACTGCTTTGATGATTTGATGAACGAAAAATTTTGCGCACCTTATTCCTGCCTGGAACCTGACCTTTTGCTGATCAATATTCGGGAGGTTAGTGGAAGAAGAAAAGGGAATGATAACGACAAAACATTGTCACATTGCAAGGCAGGTTCCGCAAACTTTTAGCTAAAAGTTCTGTAATTTTGATATTTTCAGGTACAGCCCATGCGCGCTCAAAAACATGAATCTTGACTGATATATCCCCGGGGACTTGATAGGGATCAAAAGTACTCGTTAGACTGAGGAGAAAAGCTTTGCTGCATCGGATGATACCCGAGCTGCTCGCCGCGTGATGTTCCATGAGGCTTGAACTGACTCATTGTGGAATTCGGCACATCAAATGAAATTCTATCAAAAAACACAACTTATGGAAAGAAGGCATGTTTTGTAACCTTTACGCCCGGGCAGAGTTCACGCGATTTTATCGTCGCGATTTATCGCGACAAGACAACTAACAATATCATTGCATGCCGATCTTCTTGCTTTTCGGTTGTGATAGTTAGTCTCGATTACGTGTTGGAAAACTATCACGACCGAAATGCAAGAAGATCAGCATGCAATGATACTGTCACAGATGTTTTGCCGCGATGAATCGCGACGATGAAATCGCGTGAACTCTGTCCGAGGCCTTAGGGTTTGGTCTATTACCCGCCAGCTGAAGTTGAAGTTTTTCGGACCTCTTAGGGATTTGGAAATACAAAATTTGACCGTGGCAAAAATGGAGATTTCTGGTGATTCTTCAAGTGCCCATGCACTGCACGATAACCACTGGAAAGAGGCTGAAAAGTTGTATTGAATGCAACCAAGATCCGATCTTGGTTGCATACCTCCATACCTTCGATACATAGAGCCATGCATTTTGATAACCTTCACTTTGAGGAAAATAAAAGAATACAACCTTCACTTCAATGGAAAAGAAGTAATTTGGGGCGATGCTACGGATGTTAAGATCATAACTATGTCGGAATGAATGTGAATAAAACAAGTCTAGTGGGTAATATCTCAAAAGCAGCAAAGCAAAACTATAATAAAAACACTGCGTTTTTATACCCTATTTTTCACGCTAAAAGAAGGTTTTTGGGTGTAAATTTCCCCAAAACAGGTCTACATTTTTTACTTAACCTCTTTTTGGACTACACTTGTGTTCCAGACGTTCACGAAAGTTGTTGGGGTTCAATAAAAACGAGGAGCATCCCTCAAGCCTTGCGCAGAAAGTCTCCCACGAGAATGCTGGGTTATCTCGTTAATGAGTGATTTTCAATGTTTGAGACGTTGACAGAGTTCCTAGTCGTGTCATGACGACCAGAATGATATATAATGTTGCGGAGTTTTGTTGAGACCCCGCGGAGATCCTCGACCAGAGCCAAATGCCAAATATTGGCTCTGCTCTTTCTCCTCTGCTTGACTGCGTCTCCGCGCTTTGCGCGCTACCTCGCTACTTCAAGCGCGGGGCACGGGGCATTTGGCTCTGGTAACCTATACTTCGTTGTTCTGAACCCGATCGCAGCAAGCTGTATATCAAATTGAACCTCTTGATCTCTACTTTTACGCTAACAACGCCCCAAAACACTATTTTTTGATTTGAACGAGAAATCTGGTAAAAACCATCTTTTCGAAAATCTCTTTTTTATCTAGCTTAACTCGCTTTTTTTGTGCATTCTTGCAAAGTCTAGACAACGATTCAGAGCCTAATTCTTCGATTATGGCATATTTTTTGTGAAACCCGTAAAAAGTGCGTTTTCATTTACCTTGTCCCCTTTCTGTGTTTTCGTAGCGATTTTTTTTTCAACTTGATCAATTATTGCTGAGAATAATGAGCGTAACAATACAGAAGTCCCAGGAAACAGGAACGTCAACGCGGAGGTAAAACGTTACAGGACGCATCAAAGACTTGATTTGGCTTTGCCGTGCATGACTTGATAGAAAAGGAACTTCGCGTCTACACAGCTACTTCCTTTTTTGTTCATCTCTTTCTCAATAGTTACCACCTAGGAAACATGTGTTTTGCGTCTTTTTTCTTCTCTGATTTTCTAAACACTACCTTCACTTTGATTAGGAATAGAAATCCAAAAAACCTTCGCTTTTGACGTCCTGACTCTAGGTTACCGAAGGTATATATGTTGTTAGTTGTTGTACAGCCCAAATTATTACAACTTCTAGATGAAACCTTCGATTGTTACTTATTATCAACTACGCAAGTCAACAACGTTTGATTAAAAGAGCGGTTTGTACAGTATTCATTACTTCTCATTTTAAAACTTTGGATTCTTCAAACAGTCGATGAACTTTGAAGGTGTGTGCCAATGATGTGAAGTTCGAACGGTCTTTAGCTCATTGTGTGCATGATGTTCCAGAATGTACTGCCGTGGAATCATCATTAACGGATTTTTCTGATTACAACGTGCCATTCTATAGCGCTCCGGCAACAATAATAATGAGATCGATTGTCAAAAGTCCTGACAAGGAGACTGTGGCAGTGAGTCCAATCATTTTGAGCTATTAAACTAGCTGACTAGCTGACATTCTCAGTCTTACTCGGCAGCCACTTCAAATGCTCCGGCGCCGAACGGAATGAGGATCTGCATCTCAACAAAATTTGGTTCATTGACCGCGTTCCTCTCAGCCACTATTCAGATCCTTTTCCGTTCCCTCTATTAAACCTTATGCTGCGCTAAACCGTGCTGCAACCCTTTGAGTAGGCTCACCTGTAGCATGACACTTTGACTCGCCGCATCCTTCCCACCGCTAATTTAAATTGAGCTCTAATGCTGGTGTTTATCACGAAACCTTGGAAGGGTAGAGTTTGGTGAAAATTTATTTCCGTTGGAAGTTAAAAATGAATATACTGACAGAAGAGTCCAATGATTCGCCGCGGAGGGTAGCCTAGGTACTCTGTCGGTAGAATACATTTCGGGCGAAGTAGCTGAATTAGTCAACGCACAAAAGATTCTATAAAATACATGCAAATTGACGACATCGTTAAAGGCAGCGTCCGGGCAAAATTTCGAGAAAAAATTTTTTGGCTTACCTGGGCTTATACTTTTCGCCGATTCCGAAAATGCAGATGGCAGAGTACGAAAATGTCAAAAACGGGCTATTCCGGAAGCTGTTGATTCTGAATAAGGACCCTTGCCGCCGGGGTTAAGCAGTGCATGGCAAAATCGAACACCCCGAATTTTTGATATGAAAAGTTGCTTGCGCCCACAACATGAGAACTGAGCAAGTCCGAGTCAGCAGCAAGTCAGTCAGCAGCATGGCAAGCTGCTCCTGTCTAGAAAACTGGTCCTAAACCTACGCGCGAGCCATTCTTACACGCGCTTGGACGAGCCGATTCCCCTCTCACCGTCAGAGGAGACATGCCGCAATGCTATAACCATGGGGGTACCGCAACGACTCTGCCTCTCTAAACATGGCCGAAACCGCTCCATTCGTCCTGATTCAAAATGAGAGATCTTAAAAAGTGTTGGTTTTCTCCATCATTGCGCTCTGCAAGGTGGATTTTCGGATTCTGCGCGCTGAATTACCCTAGGTAAGCGAAAAAACTCCAGATCAAGGATTTGCCGAGCCACTGCCTTTGAGGCGCAGAGTTGTGATGGGATCTTACGTTTTGACTATGCGCGACATACGTACTCTGGCTATAGATTGAAGGGGCGGGCAGGTCGCCAGGGCGTTCCGGTGCCACTTCTGATGCGGTTTTCTTGCTCCAGAAGAAAAATTGTGCAATACCACTTGGGCAAAAGCTTTATTAGGGGGGGGGACCCCCTGTACGCTACAATCTCATATATGCCCGCTGCCCATATCTCATATATGGACGCTGCCTAGGAACTTTCAGTTTTAGATAAACAGGTTATGCCATATTTGTGAAATCTCGTGATCTGCGCATTTCAAATAAAAATCTATACTTGTCGAGCAGTTGAACCTTTCAGTTCGTGTTGTACTGCCCCTGTAAAAGATGGTCATTCCTAATCTAGCAGCGTGATTGCTGCGATACCGGAAACTAAGGCCCGTTTGGCTAGCTGAGCCGGCCAGCCAATTGCCGCCAACTTGGGTGAATTGATTCCACGATGGAATCTCCACCCATGCAGTCTCCTACAGCCAGTCTGTTCGGCCATTTGCTACGTATTGTGGCCGAACCGACCTATACATTGATCATTCCGCAGTAAAGCGGGCGGGTTCGGGGGTCAACGGGGCTCTCCTGTTGTAAGCTTCCTCAGTGTCACAGTAAACGTTCATAGCGATGTGTTGTGTTATCTCCCAGTTATAGTTGCCCTATAGTGGCACAATTCTGATAAACTCCATGAAAACACGCTAAGTCTAAAATTTAAAAAAGTAGCTTCAAATAATTGTAACCAGCACACAAGACCTTCGAAGTGAGATCAAGAGCAAAAGAGTTTGTGTGTATCCTCTTATGTCATTGCAAATCAATTCAAATCAAGGTTTAGTGAAATCTCTGAGTATACAGCACAGATTTAGCTCACTGAGATTCGGCCCAGATAACGGAAAAATACCATACTCTTTCAATGCACGTCCTACTCATTATTCCTAAATCCGGCTTGCAGCATAAGCAGCAATGGCCCGGAGAACTTGCCTGTCAAATTCTAACATTCTCTTCTTAGATTTTCCAAACTCTTAATCGAAAAGCCTTGCCTTGCTTTCTTTCGCTCAGGTAGAAAGTATGTGCGGAAGCGCAGCTTTGTTAGAGTATGGTTCTTGCATTTTCTCCTGAAACATTGTTTTTGATCATTCGAGATGAGCCAAAACATCCAAAATTTGCACGCGGGTATAGAAATATACAATTTATAAAATCGTGACGACTGCTTTTACTGCGGACTTTGCGCCCACTGGAGCATAAAACGCTCATACAAGAAGGCATCACCTCAACGTTCAGCTCAGCCACTTTCAGTGGGTAAATATTGTGGCCAATATCATACGTAAGCAAGAAACCATTCGCCGAGAGACGAAAACCAGCAAAAAAATGCGTTTCCGGAAGTGGCGTGCGTGTCGCACGCGGTCGCTCCATCGTCATGATTTTTCAAATGCCCTATATAAATAGAACAGGTATAGAAGTATATAAGAAAAAGATATCATTGAAGATTTTCGATTTTGTTAGTTTTGAGTACGTTCCATGAATCCTGTTTTTTTACCTCAGCAGGTTGTTTTTGTAGGACAGATGTAAGATAAAACTGTATTGAGCTTTATTATGACTTGAAATCACATGCCAAAAATGCTTCGTAGCTTTGGGCAGTATTGTGCTAACTTGCAACGATCCAAGATTCGGGTATTCGGCAGTGCGCAGCGAATATGTGCGATATATATTGAACATTCGTATTTAGGCCTTAGTTAGGCGTGACTCAGTGCTTCAAGAATATTGTGTGAAAGCAGCGTTCACTACGGTTAGGAAAATGGATACACCTGTTAGAGACAAACTTTTGATTTTGATTTGCTAGGTATCATTTCTGCTTCTTTTCCTGCTAGGAGTTGCTCTGTTTATTATAATGTTAGTCATACTTCTCCTCGTTGTTTTGCGGACATGGAAACTGGTGAGTTTCTCATCTTTTGAAAAATACGCACGCACATGCATCTGATAGAGCTTGGCCATATGTCAATGTAACGCGTGTGGAATCGGGACGCTTCTAATTGTCTTTGCGATAACATTTATAATTCTTGGTAACACGCTAACATCTGAGTTCGCCGCCATCATGTATGTCAAAAATTTCGAGGACAAGGGTAAGTTTCCACATAGTTATGTCGAGGTTCTTTTGGCTGATTCGAGCAATTTTCAGACTTGGTCTCGCGACTGTCAAGACATCAGAGGAGATCTCTTTGTACTTTAGATAAAATCATAACTAGTGCTGATCTTTCTGGCTTCGATGCGGCTGTAAAGGCACAGAGAAAAATATCGTCGAGAGTGGAGTCGTTAATGTTGAGTAATGGGCTTGAAAAAGTGAGCATCTATAACATGGCATTCAATACTATGCGGGTCATAGCTTACAAACACCCCTTGATTGGGTTTTGGACTCTTTTGGAAAATGGCAGAAAACCGTTGGTGCTATTGAAAGGGCATAGTTGAAAAGGTGTAGCGGCACAAGAATGAAAATCGACATCACTTCTATGGGATAAGAATACTGAGTGGTTCATAATCATAAAAAATCTTAAGCCGAACTCCACTTTCCAAGTTATAATCTTTTGCATCCAAAATTTTTTGTGGTACAATCACAACTCGTGTACTCTGCACTCATTGAAATTCATAAAGAGGAGCTTTAGTCTTTCCATATAGCTCAATATGTGCTTGGCTTCAGGCGCTCCAAAAAGTTGCTCCTCTGTTTTTATGTAGGACAAACCTGTCGTTCTGTACCAAAGCATCAAGATAAGACAACCTTCCTAGATAGATTTTGTAGACTGGAAAAACCTCGCGTACTCGTTTTGTAACCAAATCTCACCTTTGCCCTAAAGCTAATATACTTTTAAACCTGCTTTTAAAACTGCCTTTTGAAGGCCAAACATCTCGAAAATTCAATATAGAAGGTTGCTTGCGTCCCAAGCATCACAACAGAGCAGGTTCGAGCTCACAACATGCTGCCCCTCCCTAGAAAACAGCCCCTAAACCCGTGCGCGCAAGCCATTCTTACAAGCGTTCGGACGAACCTGCGGTTCCTCCCACCGTCAGAGGCTGCATGTCGCAATGCTATAAACGTGTGGGTCCCCCGCGACTCTACGTTTCCAACTATGGCGGGAGTGGTCCACTCGTCCAAAATGAGAACCCTTGGAAAATGCTGGATTTTGACATTTTCGTGTTCTTCAAAGTGTACTTTCGAACTCAGCGCGTCGGATTACCCCAGGTAAGCGAGAAAAATTTAGTTCGAGGATTTGCCGAACCACTGCCTTTAAGACTTGAAATCGGGCTTATACCTTCGTTATACTTTGGTATAAAACCGTTTTGAATAATTGATCAACAACAGGGGAGACTCAGGATTTATTGGTCTGGCAATCGGAGCGTATAATTGTATACAGTACGAGGAACATTATTAGATAGTACAAGATAGTGTTATATCATGCCTGAAACTAGGCATTAGCGCAATATGACCCTGCAATGGCGAGATTATTGTCAAATCAGATCTGGTGCGAGATAACTTTACGTGAGGTGGTGTACAACATACTAGCATGAGGTAGCAGGTAGGCGTGATAACATATGTACAGAATTCGAGTCGTGCCTGTATTCTATCGCCAACAGCATAAGCACGTATATTAAAAAGAACCTAGGGTTAGACAACGCTGAACGAGAACAATTATCAACATAGCTTGAGGTAGGACATCCTCGCGGAAGAAACAGTATAATCCAAGGAAGGCCACAAAATTTGAGAATGACAAGAGGTATGGCAGAGCATGAACAAAACACACTAATGGGTACTCGCCAAGGGAAATGTAAAGACATTGTCCACAATAGAACCAAAGGTAAAAAGGATGACGTCACACACCGCTCGTAGGATCTGTTGGTAGAGGAACTGCCTTGGAAGCCACGTAGCATCGAAAGGCTTCAACGGATTTCCATCTACCGGCTTGCATCACGGCAGTTTGATGCACCTAGGCTGAGAGCAAGGGAAGCATTCCCATTCCTGAAGGAATGAGAAGTCAAGTTGAGGTGTTCTAGATTGCAAACCCTAAAAAGAAGTCTAAGTTATCCCTCAAAGTCGCACATGACAAAGGGCTAGTTGTAGACCTAGACTGGAAAAGAAAGACACCGTCTGTGGATGAAGCTAAAGATTTGCGTAATAATGCCAACTCTATCTTGTCTAAATGAAAATTGGCAAGGGCCCCCCGTTGGGACTGGTGTATTTTGAATTTCGAAATTCTGATTTGGCATTGCCCCCCTTACCGAGTGAGATATCGGCTGTCTTAAGTGATCGGGCTTCGCTAATTCGCAAGAAACCTTTGAACTGTAGGAGAGCTAGCGCAGCCGCATGCGTCACCTTTGCGTCTGACGAGTCCAGCCCTTCAAGAACAATACGTCTCATCGCTCGTTGGTCGATTTTGGTCCTGCAGGTGATTCCAGTGGCCGTATTCATCATTGATACATTGAGGTAAATCCTACCTCCAGGTAGTTTTATCACTCAATATCAGCAAGTATCCGTATTCAAGGTACTAGGGTAAATTCTCAACGTAATTTTGCTGATAATGAGTGATAGAACTACCTGGAGGTAGAATTTACTACAAGGTATTAATGATGAGTACGGCCACAGGAGAAGCTCTACGCTTCGCTTTCACTATAGAGTGCTGGATGTCCAAATCCACCCCTGTTAAAGGGCCGCAGAAATAGTTAAGCGAAGCGACTACCACTGGTAACGATTTCGTTCTCGCTTCGTGCGCGCATTTGGCGAAATAGAGGTTGCGCGCTTTAGGAAAGGGAATACCGGCCATTTTGGAATTGTCCCTCCAAGCCAGAAATTTTTGCAATTCTGCACCATAAGCACTGGGGGTTGAAGGCGCTAGCGCCCGTCCGTAGCGCTCTGTATATAGTTGCGCTGATACTCTGGAGGCCCAATTGTTCAGCCAAGGTTGTGAGCGCTGCTCCTTCTTGGAATCGCGGTGCTGAAAAAACTAACAATAATTCCCAACGTTCATGGGCGGGCGGGAGAGCCGCGAACGCGTTGAAACGCTTGGATGACCACTCATCCCGCCAAAGGCTCGGGGCCGCTTCGCTCCGCCCCCTGGCCCCGAGCCAATCGACAACATTCGATTGCGAAAGATCAATGGTTCAAAACAACACTTCTGTCTCCCGCAAAGCCTTGCAACAAGGCAGTCATGGTTTGTATGACGATGTAACCGTGCTGAGGTTTGCGTTCCTTTCAAGACTACTCTTGAGCTTTTGAAATAAAAAGCAAGGGAAGATATGATTGCATTAGTATGCGTAGTTATGACGCATGCGTTGGTGGGATAGATGCTAAGTGCTGCGGATTTTCTCTGATCGAACGCAAAAGTTAAAGAACTTATACAAACTATGTGCCCATATCACCTTAGTACGTTGCAGACAGCAGAAGCCGAGTTTTGAGGCCAGAAGTGTGCTAGCTCCAGGAGGTTGAGATTTGGTCGAAAAACTCAACGATACGTAAGATTTTCCCGAACGTCGAACGATACAGACCTAGTAAGCTTATATTGCACTAATGATTTGGTACAAGGCTAAAGCTTTTGTCACAAAAAAACCAAACGTTTTGAATCACACTGAAATCAAGACTAACGCTTTTCTTTCCAAATTCACTGGGTGCTGCGTGCAGCTTTTATGTGAAACTTTGTGACCGCAGCTTACAAAAAATTTTGAATGCGAAAGACCACAGCTTTGAGTTAGAAAAGAGGTCTGCTTGAGGTTTTACAGCTTTGAGTTAGAAAAGAACTCTGCTTGAGGATTTGTACACTTACAAATCGCTCAAAATTGGTACTTACTTAAAAGGCCCGACTTCATATGGCGCGCGGGCCTCAGCAGAAAAGGCATTTGTCCCTGTCCGTCGCTTCAAACATCCACGACCATCTTTCGTCGGTGACTGCGTCCACGGTTTCCAAGTGCGATAATCGTATCCGCTGATATCTCAGCTGGCCATCCGTTCCACGAACACTTCTGCCCATTTCGTTGGTGGTCTTCCTCGAAGACGTTTTTGCTTCGCAAGGATCCACTCAGATGTTCTTAGTGTCCATCTGTCGTCTGTTCTTCTCATGATGCGACAGGCCCATCGGTGTTTCGCTTTCGCAATGTATTCCGCTGAGTTCGCAGACGGTACATTCTTCTCAAATCCCTAAAAATCTGACAAGATGTTGTTTATGTCAGGTCATCTTGAGAAGAGCGCGCCTCAAAGCTTTCGACGTGGCTACGGTGTCAGCCCAAGCCTCAGCTGCTAACAGAGCGCGGGGAGAACAGTTGAGTCGAACAGGTGGGCACGAAGCTTCGAATCTGTCAGTTGGTCGGTGGCCTCCTTCAGAAGCCCAAGTCGGCCTAGGCTCTCTTCTTCTCCTGTTAACTTCTTCCCTCAAATTTCTCCATGTTCATCGAACGTCCGAGATACACGTAAGAACTCGTCTCCGTGACAGGGGTGCCTTCCAATTCCAATTTTGCATCATCGCAAAGGGCGTTCTTCAAAAGCTGAGTCTTCTTCCCTCCTTCTTTACTTCGTTTAGTTCCTTCAGCATCGTCTCCGCTTCAGTGATACCGCTCGAAAAGAAAACAGTGTTGTCCGCAAGACGAAGGTTCGACAGCTCCCATGAATTCGTATACCTCTGTCGTCCCAGTCCAGTGACTTCATCACAAACTTCAAGGCCGCGGTGAACAGCTTCGGCGAAATAGTGCCGCCTTTTCGAACCCTGCTTCCCAATTGGGATGGTCAGGAGCGATGGAATAATGCATCACGGCTGTACAGTCCATGCAGCAGTCGTCTAACGCCCACACGTAAGTTGGGTCCACTCCTTGATTGACTAAGGCTGTCAGGACGGCTTGGTTTCGACGCTGTCGAAGGCTTTCTCGTAGTCGAAGATTAGGACGAGAAGCAGTTGGTAAACTCCCGGCCTTCCATGTCCCTCGACCGTTTGGATGTGGTTCATGCAGCAGAATGCAGAATCAGCTTGTTCTTGGGGTGGGGTTCCATCCGTGTCCTGGATAAGCGAGCGAATGATATCTTCGTGAAAAGCTTGTACAATACACTCAGCAGGCAGGAGAGTGGTTCCGAAGATCCTCACTTATTATTGGTAATCCTCGCAAAATTCTCTTCGGCTTGGCAAAGATTTTTGTTTTTGTACTGCTATATTTTGCTACGATCTTCACCTAGCACCGACGGTTTTTTGCAATCTTTCCAACGACTTCCAAAACTTTGAATCAAGGCTTGTTCCTTAACTCTGAGCTGCTTTTCACATAATAAACGTATACATGAAAAGCGCTGACTGGAGACGAAAGTTGAAAACTTTCCCCAAAACATTTATTACCATTAAATTGCAGGTCTTGTTGAAAAAGTCTACGCTGGATTCTGCCCTGAAAAGTATTCCACTTCTTCATCCTGAAATCAATAGCAAATACAAGTCGGAGGTTTGTAGTCTATCAACCCAAAACTGTCAATTAAGGTAATTGCGATTCATAATCATACGAAAACCCCATATTTAAAAGTGTTTCGCAACTTTTTGGAAAAAAAACCAGAAATCATTGGTAGCAACTATCTCAGACTTTGTTACTGTAGCCCAAAAAATTTGACACGAAAGATTGCAGTTTTGATTGAAAAAAGCCTCGCTTGAGGTGAGCATGTTTAAACTGCTAAAAATTCGCATTCGCGCAAAAACAACCCTAAAGTCAACAAGATTTTTGTGTGCTGCGTATACCATTGTTGGATGCTCTTTCACATAGTACTAACGGTTTTTGGGTCTCTTCCAAAAAGTTTCGAAACTTCCAAAATATGGGGTGTTCGTGTGATTATGAAGCGCACCTTAAATTTACAACGCTGAGAATAGCCAAAAATTAAAGCGAACATTTTTTTGGGCTCAAACATAGATGCAACAGTCCATCAATGTTTAACGTAATCTTACGCCTTCATCAAAGTCATGCTGTGGTGCTTAAACAAGCATTTGAAAAGTTCCCGTGATCACAGAGTACTTCAAACAATGTAAAATTTAATGTTTAAAATGCCCATAACTCGCGACCCAGATTAGTTCTGCAGCTAAGAAAGTTTGTTTTGGAATCAGCATTTCAAGCTGTTTAAGACGATACCCATCCCATGTCAAAAGGCCACTGCGACTTCTGACATTTCCCTTGTTAGTACTGCACAAACAAACCTATGACTGAATATTACGAAAATATGGTCGTACAAACACTATAGAAAAGAACCAATTAACTTTTCGAAGCGTAAATTGTTTCAGATTCAAAGATTTATGTCAAAGGATATGTCCAAGAGGAAAATCCTCAAGCACATAAGGAAAGTCACAGATGCATATGTGAGTTGATTCTGATAACTGCTACTGTGTCTGTTTGATCGATTGTCTTACCTGACAAGTATAAGCTCCTGCAAGACGAAGGCGGTCGGTTCGATGTGCAACGCGGCTGCGACATGGCTGCGTCACAGCAGCGTCACAGCCGCGTCACAGCCACGTCGCACCTCGACCAACCGCCTTCGTCTTGCAGGAGCTTATATAGTAATTCACTTTCAGTCACCACTTTTGTACAGAGCAGTGGCGGACCGAAAGGAGGGGGGGGGGGGGTAGACGCGAAATTTTTGAAATTTACTTACATAAGCTATCAAAATGTGCATGTGACTTGTCTATTCTTGTAAAGAATCAAAATAATTTTCTTACTTTTTCGCCTTATAAAAATTCTTTTCGGGGTATGGCCGCCGTCGCGCCCCCTTCTTCTAGTTTTAGAAATTATGGGCCCCAAATCTCTGGTACTTCTCAAAATTGGGACCACCACTAGTACAAAGTGATTAGGTTGGAAGCTAAATTTTGCAACTTTTTCTGTGGCTTTCCTCTTTTGCAATATAACACTTGCCATCATTTAGGTCATGGCGTAAGCTACAAGTGTAGCTGCTGTTCTGCCAAATTTTAACTTGCAGTGGGGGTTACGGCAGGTATATGGTATAGGAAAAAATATTATGAATTAGTACAAATTTGGCTGTAACTTAGCATAGGGGTTATTCTAAGAACTGGTCATGAAAATGTCAAAAAAAATTGTTAGTCAAATTGACGCATCTCTTCTTATTTAGGACTAGCTGATCTGCCCGGTCCAGCCCGGGAATGATCACTGATCGAGAATAAAGATAAGGTATTCGGTGGCATTGTAGAAACTGTGTAAAGAACAAAAACAAAATGTGAACACTTATTAGTCGGTAGCATATCTCTCTTTCTCCAAATCAAGTTCAACACGCAAAACCTAAGCAAGCAGCGCGAGTTAATTGATAGCAGCGCTCATTGTTTTTATGAGGATCATTTTTTGTGACACTTTGCCGTTAAGCGGCTACTTCATCTTCATTCACTGCTTGCCGTCAATTTTTGTGGAGTCTGCAGTACTTTGCACTCGCGCACTTTCCTGGTCCAAGGAATCAACTATAGCGAATGTGAGTTGTCGCTTGTCTTGACATTATTTCTGGTATTGACAAATAATTTGTGCGCAATCTCATAAAAAATTTTGACCCCTCATTGTTTAAATTGAGCATGTAACGAAGAAAGCATTGATTATAAGCGTAAATTGAGCACGCTTCCGTGCAAAACACTCGCTACAAAGCACTCATGGTCTCTTGCACGCTAAGGTTTCCGCATAAGATACATTTAGTGCATCCATTTAAATGAGCAATTGAGACTCACATCAAGAACACTTTTCACTGCACTTCGTCAACAGAAGTTCACAATGAGACATGCCAGCCTTGTTTACATACCCCTGTTTTGATAGCAAATGATAAGAATCATTTTTATTGCAAAGTGCTGCAAATCAATAAATCGATAGAAGGACCCAACGAATCGCTGCAAAAAGTAGCCTATCATCTGCGCAAGGCTCGAAAACATATGTGTGCAAAGTTTCAGCTTAATCGGTTGAGCGGCGCGCGTTTCTATAACGCACATACCCTCCAAACTGACAATTTTTGAGTTTTATATATATATAGATTACTGTAGGTTTACCTGAATAAGAAGGGATGCGTCAATTTAACTAACGAATATGATAATTTGGTCGGCAGGTCAAATAACCTCATTGTGCAAGGTTCGCAAATTTTGAGATTCCGACTTCTTAGGCAATGGGGTTGTCCCCAGCAGTCTTCTTTAACTCGTTCAATCTTGTAAGGGCACTCGCTAAGCCAAATGAGTCAACCTTTAGCAACAGTTCATATACAGTTTTGGATCATCGTTCATGGTCTGGGTTGCGAACGGCTTGTTGCTCATGACCCCATAATCCTCGAAAACCACTAATTTCGAGAATTGCTTGAAACTTTTTCATTTCATCTTCAAAGGACAGTTTTGACGCACTTGTTGAACTCATCACGATCTACATACTGTCAAGGTTTAAGAGGGCCACATTCAAAAAGAGTAGAGTTATGAAAGAAATTGCAAAACTTGGTTTTTAACCTATAACTGAAAGTGGGTTAAGTTAATGAAACAGTATCCAGTTTTACAGTTGGTACAAACCTTAGCAGACATCCTTCACCCATTGAAGAAACAAGTTCGAGAGGTAGGAGTATCTGGTGAATTTAATTTTGAAACAACATGTGTCCTAGATTGTTGGTGAAGTCATTGCTGCTGTGAGACAAGATCACGCTGAGCTTGTGCTTACCATCTTTGAAGTATGTTGCTTCTGATAATCGGTTTCAGGACGTTTCAAAGATGATTTATGATGTAATTTAGACAACTCTCCTAATCAAAGTGCACCTAATGACTATTATTGTACTACTCTACCTGATGGGGATTAACTTTTGTGTACTGTCCTTCATTTTCATCAAGTGATTGACTTTCATACTCACTAATGTAATCGAAGTATTCTGCCTAAAGTGCATTTAGAACAAATATTACGCACTCAGAATCTCATTTAAGAAGCTTCTTCAACTGTAGTCTTTATGTATTCCTAATAGTTGGCGCTCTCATGTTTCTCTTTATGTCGTAAGTATCACGCCGAAAGTTTTCAATTTTTATTATTAGTTTGGAGTTGATATACTACAACAGCCAATGCATGCAAAAGTGTTAACAATTGTATCTTCTTACAAGTGCGACGCGGTGTAGGCGATTAGGCGATTCACGTATAGGCAATTCGTTTCACGAACAGACTGAACGCCGTTCGTCCCACTAAGAGAGTTCGTGCATGGGAGATGCAGCAAACGGTAAGAGGGATCAAAGAGAACTCGATTAGCGAGACGCGGAGAGCATCCGTAATGGCACCCTGCTTTTGCGTGCGATAATTCGCCTGTAATCGCGGTGCCGAAATCACTACCTAAAACCAGAAATGCGTCCAAATTGAGAGGTTTTTCCCAATTCAAAAAACTCTTGCTTGTAACACGAAGAATGACTTTCAGATGGGGACTCTATAATGGATATACAACAATGTATTTGACCAAGGCGATGTTCGCTAGCCTAGATGTGGGAGAAATCTCGAATGATGGAACTCAAGGAGAAAACTCTTTTAATACGTTGTAAGCAACTAAACTGTCACATCTTTTACTACTTTCCTCTGACTGGTATCATGTAGTTTAGCAAGTTGAACTCTACTCCTCAACCATTTTTTGAAAAGCGCTTTCATACAAAAGTGCCATCTTCATAGTTGTTGGAATGATATCGGGAGGGACCATTTTTATTCCAAGCAAAGCTTGGATATTTAACGGCAGTTTTTTGGAACATTGGTTAAGATGAGTGCTGTCAATTGATAAATCACTCATCATGATGCTTGTGTCTTGCATTCCTTAGTAGTGTTTGAGAGATTGCAGACATGGTATGTATAGGGCTTATCAAATTGAGTGTCGTTTGCACCAGCATCTCCATCTTCGCGCTGGACTCTGCGTCTCTTCCGCGGGGCTGCTGTCTAAGCACCTTCCCAGGGCGAGCGTGGGAAAAGCGGAGCCTCAATCGATTGGAAGTGGTTAGGGAACATGCGCCGCGGAAGAGACGCGGAGTCCAGTGCGAAGATGGAGATGCTGGCGCAAACGACACTCAATTTAATAAGCCCTATAGGTATCAAGTTGAATAGCGAGAATCACACATTGAAACACAGTACTTTTGATGGTCACTGGAAAGCATAGTTAGGGACTAGAAAGTATTGAGCTTCAAACTGGGCAACCAAAATCCGCTTATTGCTATAGTTATACAGTAGTAACGAAATATGCACAGCTACTTCCAAAATTCTTTTCAATATCTTGACTTTGGTGCAAACGTGATGAGCGTTCCTTATTTTGGCACGGCTGAAAGGAAATAAAAAAGCACGAACACCATTCCATTGAGCGAAGCAAGCTCTATGAGTGGCATTCGAAAAATTGCGCTTAACGTACGCGAACTTTGGAAGAAATTCCAAAGAACTTACGATACTCAAAAGTCGATTTTTGTGGAAAACCTTCAATTTATTCAAGAAAGCTACTTACAACTTCAGCCATTTATATGTACACTCGTTGTATTTTCCCATTGTTAGAAGTTAAGGAAAATTTGGCATCTTTTAATGCAATGCTGAACTGTACTGATATTGCCAATTCTATTCTACAATTTTTATTTCTTGAAATTTCGGCCTTCTTTAGGCGGTAATTCTCGAGAAAAAGACAAAAATCGAATCAAAAAGAAAGGAAGCAACATTCCAGTATTTTGATCCATTTTTATATTCAACAAGCCGTGTAAAATATACAGTAATTGTAGAATGAATGCTTGATGTGGATATCATATTTATTGATTTAATACGCACAAGACGTGTACACCTAGAACAAAGAACAAAAGCCAGGATGTCACTCACCAAGTCAGCACTAGCCCAGTTCATCTGATAGAAGCAAGCATAATGGCGTTAAAATCTCTATCATTTGATTAGAATAAATATTCTAGAATTCAACCAATATTGGCTACCATAAAAATTGGATCACTGATTGAACATCTCGCGTTTGTTGCTTTACTTAAAGCTTAGGATTTGGGCAGTAATTATATAAATGTGTTTTTCCAGTCATTTTCTTCATTGATCGCACATACTCCAAAGGAGATTTTGGGGTAATCCAGGGCTCGACACGCATTGGTTTGGAGCATTTTTGAAAACGAAGTTGTTCATGACTTCGCGAAATATCACGAAGTCCCTTTTGACGTCAAGATCAGTAAGGAAACTCTTTCAATCGACATAAAAAAAAACGAACAAAGCTTATATGTCTAATATAAAGAAAAAAAAAATTTTGAGTTGACTAGAGGCTCTCTTATTGGATATGGTACCATTTTAGGGTTCAAAATTTCCCAGGTCAACCAAATCTGTAGCCTCAACTATTAGGCAATGCATTCTTCGCCACATAGTTCAAAGGACATTGCAAGTGATTGGAGCGCGATATCTACCAATGCGTGCCTACACTATGGCTCAAAAAAAGAGGAGAGGCAATGGTTTGATTCGCTCTTTTCACTGAATGATATGTTCTTGAGCGTTCTAATCGTCCGAATCAAAAAAGTTCAAAATTTATGTGAATTCTCCGATATTTATGCTCCGGACCGACGTTAGTTTGGTGTTGGTTTAGAAACTAACAAGTTCGGAACGCGTATTAGAATACAAAAGTTTGAAATTTTTACATAATGTGGTTTGGAATATTATTGTACACATATAGCCCGTATCCGGTGTCATGTTATTGTTTGTGCGCTGTAAGCAAGCCATTTGTTTGTATGAGTCTTGCGTTTGAAAGTCGCGCGTGCAAAAGAACACGTTTGACTCGTAAAACCTGACATCTTTGTCAGTTGTTTTCGGGGCTCCTCCCAGGACCTTATCATGACTTATAATAAGCGGCTTAATCTGAAGTTGTGTGGAGTTTGTCCGTTACGAAATTACAGTGAGGAATGATTTACGATACTAACATCATGTGAGGTTAAGATAGCGAGTATGGTTCATTTTTAACTACGGCTCACGTTGCAATAAACCGAACAATGATTTGAGAGACAAGCTCTCAGAAAGTGAGTTTAGCACGGTTCACGATGCCAGTGCGAACCTCTGCGAAGCAGAGGTGAAGCACTGGTGGAGACAATATCCCCGTTGCTTCTAACCGCGAAGACGAAGTCCAGTTTGGCCTGAAAATGATTTGTGGGAACTCCCTTGTGTAACTGCTTTGTCAGTCCTTTTGTAAATCAGCTGGAAAACCCACTCTGCCCGACTCTGTCAATAATATATTCGTAATCAGCATGTTCACTTGCCTCGCTGTGCCAACTCCCAGCCCCGTAGCTCAAAACTTGCAAAAAAAATCGATGAAATCGATATGGATCGATAATGAAAAGTAGCCTACGACATTCGCTCCACCCCGAGTGTGTGTGCGCAAAGTTTGGTCCGGATCGCTTCAGAAATTTTTGGAACATGCATACATACATACATACATACATACAGGCAAACAGGCCTTCATACAGGCAAAATGGCCTTGGCATCATCAAAATCACAGACATTCTAAATCAAGCGAATCTTCAAAGCTATAAATTTATGGAAATTTTCAGCTACTGTCTTGCCTTTTCATACAATCACAAGTTCTAACATACGAAACGAGTGACACATCTACTCATAAAGGTTCTTGAAGCCGTTTTCCATTAGTAAGGCTCCCGCCAGAGTGCCGAAGTTATGCCAGCGCTACGCCAGCATTTCGATCGATACACGTGTATTTCGTTAGGGCGGGGCTAGTTCAGCAGGTAGATGTCCCCAACGAAATACACGTGTATCGATCGAAATGTTGGCGTAGCGCTGGCATAACTTCGGCACTCTGGCGGGAGCCTAAATAGTCGGTTTTACTTCCGTTGAGAGATTTTCGAATTTTGCAGCGACATCGCTCTAGAAAACTGCTTTTTATTATAGAATTTGTGTGTCGAAGCGCTGAAATAGGACTAGCTGTTCTAGTGCATCGTTAGGTACCCGATGCTCAAGCAAGTAACGGGTGTGCCCTAACGTATACTACTAAACGGCAGGTGCGAAGTCTTCGCAACTTGATTGGGCACCTGCGCCCCCACTCACCAAGTGACCAGTGCGTGACAAAGAGGTTCGCAGGATTTTTTAGACGGAGTATGATTTTTCCGGATTCTTTTCTCATTTTCTTGATTTTTCCTTTTCCTCTCAGTTTCAAGTAAGTCAAAAGTTTTGCGATTTTTGAATTTCACCTTGTAGAGCTTGCTTTGCTCCATTGAATAAAAGGTTTTGATCATTTTCGTAACTTTCTGCCACTTCAGAATAAGGGAAAGAACGTTCATCATTTTTAATTATACCCAAAAACTAGTTATAAACAACCAATTATAATAGTGCAGAGAATGTGCACGAAAAAGCGTTATTTCATAAAAACTTTTAGGACCTTTCTACAGAGATGTGAAGGCGGTAGTACCTTTGTAGAGGCTTGCGGAAGGAAGCTGGCTAAAAGTGATAACTCAGCAGTAGTAATATTTACTTATGGTGAATGTTTAATTTACTGAGTTATGATTGCATTTGCAGCAATCGCGACCAACTGAGGTAAAACGATTCTTTCCCGTCAAAGCGTTTGCGACATATCAAACTGCGATATCCAACATGGTGACCGAGACAGATGTAAGGTATCAATATGCGGCTCACAAAACTTTGTGCTGATATTTCAGCATATGCAGACGAATGTTTTGATGTGGTCTGCAGCATTTACAGGAGATGAAAGTGACCTCCCAGCTATAGGGTTGAGCTATAAAGCACACACTTTTTGATTTCAGACAGATCATCTCAGAAATTCCTTACGCATACTGTTCAAGTTTGTGAAGAATTTAAGAATGCGCTTAAACAAGTACAAATCATTTTCTGATCAATTTATAGTGGATTTGACTATCAAATTTGTAGTTCCTACCGATGCTCCAACTGCAGCATAGACAAGTTCATGATATTGTTTCTGAAGAAGGAGACAATGCCAAGGACTCCTATGTGAAGTTAATTATGGTAAGTTCATTTTTTCAATATTTAGACGTGTGAGTAACCTTGATTTTTTTAAAGAAAAATATCAACAGTGGCGGTAATCAATGCACAGATTTACCATTAGCTTGGTCGCAGTCATGGTGGTTATTTTTGAATAATTTGGTAGCGCCAGTTCAAGGGCAATGGTTTAGTTGTGGTAAGTCAATAACATCATCTTTTCATTAGGCAGGCAGGAGCCGGCACGGCACAGAAAAATACGAAAAAGAATTCTAGTTCAAAAAACCATTTGGTACGGTGAAAAAAAAAAGACTGGGAATAAACAAATCGATCGGAGATTCCGTATTGAGCAAATCCGATCAAAAATTGTGTTTCATCGAAGCAAAATCAGACTTTACAAGTACATCTTTAGAGTTTTGGGTAATAACTCCGTACTTGCATGAACAGCTTTTCGATTTTTGAGACTTTCAAAAGCGAAATCTAATCTCATCACATTTTTGTCCAAGATAAGAGTCCGTCCACAAGTTGCGTATAAAATTGTATCAGTCTGTTCCACTTCCAGTTCGTAACGTTTGTATTAATGAAAGAAGACAAAATTCTGGCGACAAACAATGAATTCGCTGTTGCAAATAACCGTCTTCCATGGCTGCCGTGTCAATCACTTTTATAAAAGCAGCGCCGGAAACACTTGTGTTGGCCTTTGAAGTTATCGACTGTGGAAGCTGGAAGGTCGAAGAAGAACGGCTTACATTAAAAGATGTATCTACCTTGAAGAACTAGATAGTTTCGTGCTGATTTACCTCTCAAAAATGATCTGATCATGTAAAACAACTCACAAAATATTGAATTCCGAATAAAATTTTAGATACTTAAGGGTTAGCAGGAATTCTCTGTTTTGCTTCTTTCCTTGTTTTGCGATGCGCAGTAAATCTGCTGTCCAAAAAAGAACATGAAAGAGCTGTAGATCGGGGAGAAAGGGATAGAGAGGAAACGAGCGATGACTACTCCGAAAAATCGCCCAAACAGGTAAATTGATGCTACTATCTTTTATGATGAAAAGATCACTATCACACAAAGTGAGGTCAAAAACTCCTACACTCATAATTTCAGCATATTGTTACAGACTTTTCAGACCTCTTCTATTTTCAATCTCAAAGGAGAGAGAGAAACGCGAGGACAAGACAGTATGTACAAATCGAAAAATTCTCCGTTTGAGGAAAGAAGCACGTACAGAGGAGAGCTGAGCGACGCCTCAAAAAGTTGTTTTCATTGATTAGAGTGATGTGATATACAATAATAAGACTAACTTAAGGTTGGCAACTTCGAAACTCCGATAACTCCGGCTACTTCGATATACCAAGGACCAATTATTAAAAGCCTTGTTGAAAAATCTATAAGACTAAATCCAAATCCTTTCTTTCAACTCACAAAATGCAATTATAAATTGTGTTGTAAATTTGTTTTATTAAAAGTGGATTGTTTCAGTTTGCAGATAGTCGAATTTCATGACCGAGAGCATTGGTGATTCATGTATGCAGATTGTTCCCTATCTTCCTCATGAAACACCACTGCACCATCGAAAAGCTTAGGTTCTACTCGCACTTATCGGATACTAGCTGGCTTACCCGGCTCCGCCCGGCTCTGTCAATGCTATGATTAAGTTCTTATCCCTATCCCTGTAGACACTTTCATTGTGCCCACTTCTACATGCAATTCCCTATTCCCGCTGCGTTAGTAATTAGCATGCCCACCTGCCTCTTTCAACAACCCCAGCCCCGTAGCTCAATCTTTGCAACAAAAAAAACAATAAAATCGGTAAAAGTAAGGATAAATCTGAAAACGGGGACGAGTGGCGTAGTGGTATGAGGCGCCGCTATGACCAGATCGGACACAGGTTCGCCCCGCCCCTGGGCAAACCAAGCCCTTTTACCCTCCGGGGCCGGTAAATTGGTACCAGAGTAATCTGGGAGGATAAAAGCACTGACTTGGAAACGGCTGGCCCCCGCAAGTCACTGTAATAGGCCCGCACGCCTACAATTGTAGTGTGTGCATTCGACGCGTGCCCTCAGAGGGTATTGAAGACGCCGAATCCTTTATCCTTCATCCTTTAAATCTGAAAAACTGATGGCGCTATTCGGCTATTCGGCCCAAAATGTTTTTGTGATGGATCTTGCTCAAACTCGATATATGGGGGTTATTCAAGCCGCTGATAACGAATATCGTAGTCATTTCGAGCGATAGCGCCATTTTCTCGGTTTACGTTGGGTACACATAAGAAGCTAAAATCAAGGATTTCACTGAAACTTTGAGGGGCTAATTGACATGCTGATTACGAATATCATACTCCTTTGGCATTTTGAGGTAAATTCACTGAGTTGTAGTAGGTATACTGCAGAAGGGCAAAATCTCAGTTTTGGCTAAAACTCTAAAGAGATTCGACCTTCTGACCACGTTCAAAACACTCTCGTTGCGTTTTGAGACCTTTTCGCAGAGTTACGGTAGGTACATGGCAGCGGGTAAAAATCATGAACCTGCCTGAAACCTTGGCAGAAAATTACCTAAAGTGCTGTTTCAATAATATCGTGCTCAATCCCCACGATAAAGGCAATTTGTGTGGTATAAAAGTTTCACACGACCGTAATGCTTTCCCTTATGGGACCACTGCCGCGCGGATACACCCTTCGGCGGCTTTTGCCCAAGCAAAAACAGGGGAGGGAGATTTGCCGCGTGCGTTATGCGTTGGGACAGGTTGTCAGGATGGCGCTGGAGACCGCCATGCAAAACGACCGCTTCCCCATTTCGTGAATATCTGGGATCTAAACGAAAGCGAAAAAATGTCCATTCAAAACCTGCAACTCACCATAACTTCACTAATGCATTGTGACAGCGAGCAAGAATCATATTCATAAGCGATATACTTGTGAACCGTTGCAGGTAAGGTTTTGAGCAAATCTGGAACTTCGACACATCTATACCCACCGTAACCCAAGAAAATGCACTATGCTGCGAATTCAGCATGATATTCATGTTCAACGCGCTAAATGACCACCCTAGACGAAGTTTAAAGCAAATCTATGTTTCCGACCCCATACCGTATAACCATCACTTTATGAAGAGGTCCCAATATGAAGAGAGAGTATGAAATTCGTAATCAGCATGTCGAATAAGCCATATTGACCGAACTCCAGCCGAACTCATGATTTTGACTTCCTATCGTGCACCTATCGTAACCACACGGAAAGACATTCTGCGGAGAAAATGTGACATCCGTAATCAGCATGTAAAGGGCCGGGCATACTTCAAGCGATTTCAGTCGCGAAGCAAATTGGCAATTCACCAGAAGTCTTCGGATCCAACATTAGCAAACTGCACATGCATAGTGTGTATGGCCTAAGGCATACCTCTCGCGATTCCGGTCGCTGCGCGATTTGGCACAACAGCGACTCTTCGTAATACGTCGTTAATGCGCTGCTTTTGATCAAAACTTGTTCTGTTTGCAACAACTTACACAAGCTACCCAAATATGCGTCCCAGTGCGGGTCCAAAATCGCACAAAATGCACGAAAATACCATTGTTTGAAAGCTCCGTGGAAGCCACGCGGATGTATTAGGTTGTTACATAAGTTTTGTTACACTTTCTTCGCCTTCTTCTGGAAAACTCTAGAAAATTCGGCAAGACCTCATATCGGGCATATATGGGGAAGGGATAAAGGGCTATCTGCTGGTACCACTTATGCCTTCACCACATGACTTACAGTGAATATGAAGGCAACACTAAGGGGCACCCCAACCTTCATTTTTTTTCTTTGTTTCCTAAAAATTCTCTTATTCTTCTTTTCCACGTTTTTAGATTTTTTATGGACTTTGGGGAGCATTGGTAGTAATACTGAAGCAGTTTGAAGTCCAACCTTTCATCAACCAAAAATGGAAATTTGCCAAAAATAATTCGAAAAAATTTCAAAAAAAACCAAAATTTGATTTTTAATGTGTGGCATGTATATATCAAAAATCTGCAACATTACACATAGTTTGGAGGCAAGGAAAAATCATTTGAGAAAGTTATGAGCATTTTTTCAGTCGAGTGTAACAAAACTTATGTAACAACCTAATATTATGCCCTTACCCTAGCCTTTGCCACAATGGTAGCAACACCATGAAGATAGACTCTAAGAGGAGGGACATGATGAAACACGTAAGGCGGGGAACCGAGAGCGCCGGCTTTGAGGGCAAATTTTCTCGGCCTGGAAGGGCCCGGATGGAGTCAGACTTGGAGCGGTTGCCTGTTCAGGGCTTCCTCTAACAAAACATGTCGAGACCCTATTTACCCCAGTCTTGGTGAGACACTGTCTTTAAGTGGCTTAGAATTATCAAAAAGCTTTGAAAAACACCCGCGTATTATTATCGGTTTGTTTCTTATTTACAGACAATACACTTGAACTAACATTGATTACTCATTTTTAGACGATTTTGTACCAGCATTTCGTTGACTTTAGGTTACTTGAAGCTCGACAAATCTGGACATTCGAACGCTTATGACTTCTTTTGTTAAGTTGTTCCGCAAAACGGAAAGCAAATTTATAACCAGCGTTCAAAGTCGCGTTTATCGATTTACATCTCGTCTTCAATCGCCAACTGTTGGTATCCTTCCCTTGCAAAAAGTAAAAATTGTGCTTGCTGATATTTTATCAGATTTCAAATCACCCTTGGGATTTTAACGATCTCCCTTATGATTTCCCCTCAAGTGACATCAAGCGAGTGGAAGCAAACCTTTGCACAACCACAAAGGTGTAGCCTCTTCTACATTATGGTCTACATGAAGTCCCAGAAATTTTCATTACTTTGCCAAGACTAAATAAAATTACGAGCTTTAGTCGTCATCTGATGAGCAAGAAAATTCTGCACAAGTCCTCATTCATCATTGTCAAGAATCCTTCTTTGGCTTTCGACTTTTTTCGCTTCGAAAAATTTTTTTACGATGCGAGCAATGGGATTTGTCCCCAATTACTCAATTTCTTTCATGAAAATGAGCTAAGTTCGAAAATTACATTTAGCAGTCAATCTGCGGTGAAGATTGTGCGAGTCGGATGACCAAACGCTATTAGTTCAATGTCCCGATAGTGGATCTCACACCAGTGCATAATTTCCTTTTGTTACGGATTGGTGCCTAGCCCTGCTAAGAATTCCAGAAGCGCCCGAAGTGGCTGCTTTAGCTCAGGAAAAAAGACAGATTTTCGAGATTTGCTTTTTATGCTTTTCAGAATCTGTGATCCGTAATTTTGAGTTTCAATGCGATTGCGATCAATAAATCTTTGAACTATACTCTGACTAGGAGTCGAAGTCGAGATAACCATGACGGGACAAAAGAATATGGAGAAGACCAATATCATAAAATATGGCACAAAATAGGCCGAAAATGGATTTTTTGCAGTCCGTTCCAGTTTATGTGGACCATCTTTTAAACTCTAGTCTGCGAGGAATATCAAATTTAGCATGAAAAACCGAAGAAGGCAATACTTTGGCGTGGCTGCCCCACGTCCTCTTTTTTGATATCTTGAGATCATGGGCCCAGAAGAATTTTGGGAGCATCCCAAAAAACTTTGTCGCCCCCCCCCCCGTTCCAAACCTGGGACCGCCACGTGCCGGTAGTAAACCTTAAATCTCCAGCGCAACTCGGCTGGGATGGGCCTACGTTGAACGCAGGACGCCTCAGTACGGCATCCAGTGAGCTATTGATCAGGATGCGGATCGCCTTCTAGACATAAAGATCATGTGCGTTCTCAAAAAGGAACCACTTGAGCAGGTTTGGTCTAACGCCTAGGTGGTTAGCATTCAACGTGTGATGATATGGTCCGATGCCGGCTAGTGGAGGCTTTTTGGGCATCGCCAAGCAATCATTGATAGCGGGCACTATCGAAACGATGGCAGCTGCTATCAAGGCTACACTTAGCAAACGGACAGATAAAACAAAACTAACATATTTTTACAATGATTTAATCTATATCTATCTATATATATATAAAACTCAAAAATTGTCAGTTTGGAGGGTATCTGCGTTATAGAAACGCGCACCGCTCAACCGATTCAGCTGAAACTTTGCACACATATGTTCTCGACCCCTGCGCAGATGATAGGCTACTTTTTGCAGCGATTCGTTGGGCCCTTCTATCGATTTATTGATTTGTTTACGTTTTTCTGAGGAATTGAGGGCTTATCATGTTTAATCAAGCATTTTACCATAGTCATGTAAAGGAAGGGCGGGGAAGCTCATTTTCACATCAGGATCACGAGGATGCGGTTTCGTCGAAGCGGGTCCCAGGGTAAGTCATCCACAACATATAAGAAGGGGGGCTTGCAGGTAGGTGACCAATGACCCG